ATGGATGGGAAAAAGCACGGGGTGTTAAGTCACCTGAAGCAGAAAGTGCACCCCCTGCTGCCCAGTCTGCTGCGGGGCAAAACTCAAAACAAGGGAAGGCTGCAGTCCGGGCTGGCCCCGGACCGCCGCATGAGCTCCTCTGTCCCCGACATCAGGCACAAGTATGTCCCGTCCACAGCTCACATCCACAGGCAGGACGTGTCCAGCAGCTCTGCCTCACAGCTCAGTAAAGCAGCCCCGAGGCAGGCAGGAGGCGGGAGTGGCCCAAGGATGGGAGCAGGGAGGAGTGAACAGGTTCTGTGTGCACCGACAGACTGCACGGACTGGAATCCTACAAGAAGCTCTGAGAGTCGCCACAGACACAGGCACAGGCACCTTAGAGCTGCTGCAGACATGGAGCCAGAGGAGCTGGGCCTGCCCGAGGTCATGACCATCTACACCCCAGAGCAGTCTCCTGGGGCCGCACACCAGGTATCTGCAAATCCACACGAGACAAGATGAGAAAGCATCACACTCTCAACGAGGATTAGGAATAGAGCCATCTCACAACCTTGCATTGGTTATGAGCTTATCTTCTTTCAGAGCAGGTCTTTATAGTGGTGGTGGTGGGTGCATTGCATACTTTATTATCGTCAGTGTGTGAACATGTACATTTAATTTGGAAATACAAAAACTATACAACTGTTTTATGGTATGATAACACAAACCAAGACCCAAGAATGAGTAGAAATGTGCACGGTAATACACAATGCCCGGTAAATAGTTTCACTTGTTTAATCTTTCCCTTGAGGTTTACTTTTTACATTTTAAAATTCCTCCGTGTATCCAATAAAACAGTACATTTGACGAGAGACGAGGTGAAAGTGGAAAGAGTTTGAAGTTTTTTTAAGAAGCTGTGGCATCTGGTCAGAGTTCATTTTTGGAGCTGGTTACCCAAACTTTGGATCGACTCGAATGTCAGGTGTGCGGTGTTGAAACTTCACTTTACTCTTCCTAAAGTCTTCCTAATGCTGCGGCCTCTTCACAAAATCAATAGTTTACAATAGACTCTGATAAACTGTGTGTTTGTAGAGTCACAAGACACGTCCCTGCCACCTGCACCGAGAGAAACAAGGATGTGCACTAAACCTGAAAGTCAATATGAGACCTGCCGTGTACTGCTCACTTCTGCAACACTCTAAAAAAGTGATCAAATATGAGGTTAAAATGGCTTGAATCAAGGGTTTTTTGTCTTATTTTGAGTAGATTTTGACAAGATTTTCCCGTTTAGTCTTAATTCAAGAACTGTTTCCTTATTTTCTCATTCCAACACTGCAAAAAATGACACAAATAAGGTATAAATGCTTGAATCAAGTCTGTTTTATCTCAATTTAAGCTTATTCTGACTGGCTTAAAACAAGATTTGCCGATGGAACAAGCCGGTTGGTCAAATCTTGTATCTTTTTAAAACCAGACCTTTTTGCTCGTCCTAATGACAAATCTTGTTTTTCGAGCAGTCAAAATGTGCTCAAATGAAGATAAAAACACTGGATTTAAGCATTCATTTCCTTATTTTGTGTTATTTTTTGCAGTGAAGGGAGACTTTTTGCTTTTCCCATTGGCAAATCCAGTTTTAAGCTCAGTCAGAATGTGCTCAAAATGAGATACGTTTTGCCAAATTTGAGCAATTTTTGACTAATTTGTTTTGATCACTTTTTGCAGTCACTTATTTCAGTTTATTTGATGAATTCCTGTTGAAATCAATGTGAACGACAGAGAAATGCAGCAAAGCGAATTCAGAAACGGACTTTTCTATAGATCAGAGCTTTTCAATCTGTGGTGAGCGTACTGCAGCCCCTCAGGTGATAAAGCACTCACAATATTAATCCTCTTTTAGAACAAGTTTATATCTCGAACTGAGAATTGTCTATTGTGTTAAGGGCTATTCATTTTATGTACTTTTTAATAATAATAATATACAGGTTTTATACAGTGCTTTTCAAAAACTCAAAGACGCTTCACAATTCAGGACACACACACACACACACACACACACACACACACACACACATTCAGACAGATACACAAAACTAAAAATCTAAAAGGGGGGAGAGAGTTCCAGAGATGAGCGGGGAGAGAGTTCCAGAGGTGAGGGAGGAGAGGGTTCCAGAGGTGAGGGGGGAGAGAGTTCCAGAGGTGAGAGAGGAGAGAGTTCCAGAGGTGAGGGAGGAGAGAGTTCCAGAGGTGAGGGAGGAGAGAGTTCCAGAGGTGAGGGAGGAGAGAGTTCCAGAGGTGAGGGAGGAGAGAGTTCCAGAGGTGAGGGAGGAGAGAGTTCCAGAGGTGAGGGAGGAAAGAGTTCCAGAGGTGAGGGAGGAGAGAGTTCCAGAGGTGAGGGAGGAGAGAGTTCCAGAGGTGAGGGAGGAGAGAGTTCCAGAGGTGAGGGAGGAGAGAGTTCCAGAGGTGAGGGAGGAGAGAGTTCCAGAGGTGAGGGGGGAGAGAGTTCCAGAGGTGAGGGGGGAGGAGAGAGTTCCAGAGGTGAGGGAGGAGAGAGTTCCAGAGGTGAGGGGGAGAGAGTTCCAGAGGTGGGGAGTCAGAGGAGAGAGTTCCAGAGGTGAGGGAGGAGAGAGTTCCAGAGGTGAGGGAGGAGAGAGTTCCAGAGGTGAGGGAGGAGAGAGTTCCAGAGGTGAGGGAGGAGAGAGTTCCAGAGGTGAGGGAGGAGAGAGTTCCAGAGGTGAGGGAGGAGAGAGTTCCAGAGGTGAGGGAGGAGAGAGTTCCAGAGGTGAGGGAGGAGAGAGTTCCAGAGGTGAGGGAGGAGAGAGTTCCAGAGGTGAGGGAGGAGAGAGTTCCAGAGGTGAGGGGGGAGAGAGTTCCAGAGGTGAGGGAGGAGAGAGTTCCAGAGGTGAGGGGGGAGAGAGTTCCAGAGGTGAGGGGGGAGAGAGTTCCAGAGGTGAGCGGGGAGAGAGTTCCAGAGGTGAGGGAGGAGAGAGTTCCAGAGGTGAGGGAGGAGAGAGTTCCAGAGGTGAGGGAGGAGAGAGTTCCAGAGGTGAGGGGGGAGAGAGTTCCAGAGGTGAGGGAGGAGAGAGTTCCAGAGGTGAGGGAGGAGAGAGTTCCAGAGGTGAGGGAGGAGAGAGTTCCAGAGGTGAGGGAGGAGAGAGTTCCAGAGGTGAGGGAGGAGAGAGTTCCAGAGGTGAGGGAGGAGAGAGTTCCAGAGGTGAGGGAGGAGAGAGTTCCAGAGGTGAGGGAGGAGAGAGTTCCAGAGGTGAGGGAGGAGAGAGTTCCAGAGGTGAGGGAGGAGAGAGTTCCAGAGGTGAGGGGAGGAGAGAGTTCCAGAGGTGAGGGAGGAGAGAGTTCCAGAGGTGAGGGAGGAGAGAGTTCCAGAGGTGAGGGAGGAGAGAGTTCCAGAGGTGAGGGAGGAGAGAGTTCCAGAGGTGAGGGAGGAGAGAGTTCCAGAGGTGAGGGGGGAGAGAGTTCCAGAGGTGAGGGAGGAGAGAGTTCCAGAGGTGAGGGGGGAGAGAGTTCCAGAGGTGAGGGAGGAGAGAGTTCCAGAGGTGAGGGAGGAGAGAGTTCCAGAGGTGAGGGGGAGAGAGTTCCAGAGGTGAGGGGGAGAGAGTTCCAGAGGTGAGGGAGGAGAGAGTTCCAGAGGTGAGGGAGGAGAGAGTTCCAGAGGTGAGGGAGGAGAGAGTTCCAGAGGTGAGGGAGGAGAGAGTTCCAGAGGTGAGGGAGGAGAGAGTTCCAGAGGTGAGGGAGGAGAGAGTTCCAGAGGTGAGGGAGGAGAGAGTTCCAGAGGTGAGGGGGGAGAGAGTTCCAGAGGTGAGGGAGGAGAGAGTTCCAGAGGTGAGGGAGGAGAGAGTTCCAGAGGTGAGGGAGGAGAGAGTTCCAGAGGTGAGGGAGGAGAGAGTTCCAGAGGTGAGGGAGGAGAGAGTTCCAGAGGGTGAGGGAGGAGAGAGTTCCAGAGGTGAGGGAGGAGAGAGTTCCAGAGGTGAGGGAGGAGAGAGTTCCAGAGGTGAGGGAGGAGAGAGTTCCAGAGGTGAGGGGAGAGGAGTGAGAGAGTTCCAGAGGTGAGGGGGGAGAGAGTTCCAGAGGTGAGGGAGGAGAGAGTTCCAGAGGTGAGGGAGGAGAGAGTTCCAGAGGTGAGGGAGGAGAGAGTTCCAGAGGTGAGGGGGGAGAGAGTTCCAGAGGTGAGGGGGAGAGAGTTCCAGAGGTGAGGGAGGAGAGAGTTCCAGAGGTGAGGGAGGAGAGAGTTCCAGAGGTGAGGGAGGAGAGAGTTCCAGAGATGAGGGGGGAGAGAGTTCCAGAGGTGAGGGGGGAGAGAGTTCCAGAGGTGAGGGAGGAGAGAGTTCCAGAGGTGAGGGAGGAGAGAGTTCCAGAGGTGAGGGAGGAGAGAGTTCCAGAGGTGAGGGTGAGGGGGGAGAGAGTTCCAGAGGTGAGGGGGGAGAGAGTTCCAGAGGTGAGGGAGGAGAGAGTTCCAGAGGTGAGGGGGAGAGAGTTCCAGAGGTGAGGGAGGAGAGAGTTCCAGAGGTGAGGGAGGAGAGAGTTCCAGAGGTGAGGGAGGAGAGAGTTCCAGAGGTGAGCGGGGAGAGAGTTCCAGAGGTGAGGGAGGAGAGAGTTCCAGAGGTGAGGGAGGAGAGAGTTCCAGAGGTGAGGGAGGAGAGAGTTCCAGAGTGGGGAGAGAGAGAGTGGAGAGAGAGTTCCAGAGGTGAGGAAGGAGAGAGTTCCAGAGGTGAGGAAGGAGAGAGTTCCAGAGGTGAGGGAGGAGAGAGTTCCAGAGGTGAGGGAGGAGAGAGTTCCAGAGGTGAGGGAGGAGAGAGTTCCAGAGGTGAGGGAGGAGAGAGTTCCAGAGGTGAGGGAGGAGAGAGTTCCAGAGGTGAGGGAGGAGAGAGTTCCAGAGGTGAGGGAAGAGAGAGTTCCAGAGGTGAGGGAGGAGAGAGTTCCAGAGGTGAGGGAGGAGAGAGTTCCAGAGGTGAGGGAGGAGAGAGTTCCAGAGGTGAGGGAGGAGAGAGTTCCAGAGGTGAGGGAGGAGAGAGTTCCAGAGGTGAGGGAGGAGAGAGTTCCAGAGGTGAGGGAGGAGAGAGTTCCAGAGGTGAGGGAGGAGAGAGTTCCAGAGGTGAGGGAGGAGAGAGTTCCAGAGGTGAGCGGGGGAGAGAGTTCCAGAGGTGAGGGAGGAGAGAATTCCAGAGGTGAGGGGGAGAGAGTTCCAGAGGTGAGGGAGGAGAGAGTTCCAGAGGTGAGCGGGGAGAGAGTTCCAGAGGTGAGGGAGGAGAGAGTTCCAGAGGTGAGGGAGGAGAGAGTTCCAGAGGTGAGGGAGGAGAGAGTTCCAGAGGTGAGGGAGGAGAGAGTTCCAGAGGTGAGGGAGGAGAGAGTTCCAGAGGTGAGGGAGGAGAGAGTTCCAGAGGTGAGGGAGGAGGTTTTTCATGTTTAAGGCTTAGAAGGTTCTTTTTTAATGAGACAAAAGAAGTAAAGAAAACTAGCACTGCTTAATGACATATTTTGGCGGTAAACTTCGGCCGTATTAAGCAGTACTTCTTTAGTCTTATTGAAAAGAACCTTCTAAGCCAAAGGTACTCTGTGTAGTCTATACTCCCATGTAGCTCTGAGATCATATATTGCTCAAAGGACAATATGTGGTCTTTGACAGTGGTCCCCAACTCCCGCTCAAACTCCTTTTTGTCCCTTATCAGCCTCTGTAGTCCAAGATGGTGCATTGACATGTAGAGTCCTCAGCCTCATGGTTAATATGTTTTTTTCATTTGGAGCAACTGTAAAAATTACACACAGAACCTTTAAGAAGACAAAATTAACTTTTTATATTTCGTTTTTTTTGGGTAGATCTTAATGTAGACTTTAAATCCTCTTCAGACATAGTGGTACTTATGATAGTGGGAGTACTGTTGGGTGGCAGCTCTGATTGCCCCCTCCCCCCGACCCAGAAATGGATTAATAAAAGGGTAGAAAAGGAGAATTGTCATAGGTTCTACTCTTAAAAGTGCGATCAACACTGGTAAATATGTGATTTTGCGTTTTAAAGCTGCGCCTTGCCCCTTGTGTCCAACATCAGGGTGAGGGTCTCATGTGATGTTTAGTTTAGGTATTTGTTCACGAATGCTGCGCGGCTAATGTCAAATACGCAACACCCAGGCTAATCTGCTTGCTTACTGGATAATGTCAACCTTATTTGAACAAGCTCTGTCATGGCGTTTTTTAACAACCGAGTTACTGATATAGATGAAAAGATGTGAAAGTGCCGCCACTACAATGAAATCTAACTTTGTGTGCACATGGCATAGCATTGACGTCTGTGCCACAAAACAATAACCTGGCAAGAGCCAGATTGATGATTGTGTAGAACTCTAACGCGTTCTCCGCGATATCAATCTGGGATTTCTCCCGGAGAATCCTTTCGGGGAAAGGAGGGATAAGCAGCAGAATACTTGAAGCTGATTGGGCGAAGTGACGCTGTGTGCCCGCCTACCAAGGTTTGACAAAACCCGTAGGTAAAAATGCACAAACATCTTTGCCGTCCAGAAATGCACAAAGCGCCTCTCGCTGTTCATCTTTCAAAAAAGAAATTGGAGATTCTGCTAAAACTGACATGATAGCCTCAGCTACACGTCCGTCCTCCTGCGTAGCCATGTTTGTTTTGCTTCGGCCCGGCACTTCTTGCTTTCGTCAAACCCGGATATCCCGCCCTAAACCCCCAGACTGGCGCGTGATTGGCTCGCACATCCAGTGGTTCGACTCGAAAAGTGTAAGCGGGAGCGGTACAAGATGTATTCTCGAGTGTTTGTGAACTCACAAATACCGCGAGAATTCAGCTTGCAGGCAAGGTTAACAAAACAAGCTTTATGGAAACACATGACGTCTGGATTTTCTTATGTATTATTTCCTTGTGACCATTGAGGCGTATGAATATTATTAGTTGTCGGTGCTGTCATTGTTTGCCTGCTGTCAAATGCTTTATAATAATAATCATAAATCTTTGTTTGAATAGAGCTTTTCAAATACGTGTTTACACAGCGCTGCACAGGCAGGATAATACACAGTCAAAATAATTAGATAGAATAGTAAATACAGGAAGACAAAGCAGACGGTAAAATACAAAATGTGAATATTCCAGAGTTGAGGAGCACGGACAGTGAAGGCCCGAACACCCTTCGTCTGGAGCCGGGACCTGCCCTTGGATCTAAGGCTGCAAAAAAAAATCATAAAATGTCAGATTCAGAAAACTTTATTGATCCTAAAGAGCAATTCATTGGCAGTACACAAACACACAAACTCTACACAAACTCTACACAAACACACAGTGAGTCTCACAGTCACAGCAGCAACACACAATTCCCAAAAGTCAACCACCTCGACCAGAGTTCAACAGTTTTATGGCAGAGGACATAAAAGAATTGTAAAAACGGTTTGTTTTTCGTGCTGGAGCATAAAAACGACGCCCTGAAGGCATCAATACAAAGTCAGCGATCAGAGGATGTTTGGGCTGAGCCAGAATACACTTTGCTTTATTCAGCACCTGTTCCTCCCACAGAGAGTGAGAGTTTTCCTGATTTTATGAAGTAGTAAATGCCTGAATCAAGTGTTTTTTTATCTTAATTTAAGTACATTTTGACCGATTTGCCCATGGAACAAGCAAAAAAAGTCAAAATTCAAGAAATGTCAATGTCAAAAGAGACATAAATTGCATCACCACTTGAAATTGGACATAACCGGCTTGTTCCGGCAAATCTTGTTTTAAGAAAGTCAAAATATACTCAAATTAGGTAAAAACTCTTGATTCAAGCATTTATTACCTTACATCTTGTCACTATTTGCAGTGTAGCGGGTTACAAGTTCATAAAACTAGCTTGGGGCCAGACCTAAACAAGCTTTATGAGTAATCAGTAAAATCTTAAAATCAGTTCTAAACCGCACAGGGAGCCAGTGGAGTGACGCTAACACTGGGGTGATGTGCTCCCTTCTGTTAAAACCACTGAGACGCTTCACTTACACTTAGTTTCAAACAATGCAAATATTCTTGAAGGTGTTTGTGAGTTTGAGAACTTTATACCAGTTTTCTAATACTATTGTAAAGGGTCTTGATCTTTCTCCAGGGTGACAGAGTTATGAATAAATACTCTCTATGTGGAGTGAGAGACAAATTCCCACAATTGTAAACTGCTTTGTGACTCTGGTCTGTGAAAGGCGCTATATAAATAATCTTACTTCCTTACTTACTCAGATATTCTCCATAATATTGTATTGTGCCCTCTTCATTTGTTTGTTTTTCTGAAGCAGCAGGATGAAGAAACGGACTTGAACAGTGATCCAGACACACACGGAGAAACACAGACTGTAAGTGCTGCGTCTAAATGACTTCTTTATCATTGTACATGTAAAACTCTCTTCTTAATGCGTCCACGCTGGGAAAAATATATGCAAATAAGTAAAATACTGCTTAAAATAAAACAAATGATCTGCAATTAGAACAAGAAAATATGATTTGACAAGATTTTGTAAAATAATAAAAAATAAAACTAGCCCCAAACGACTAGTTCTAGTTTAAAAACTTATATTTCAAACATTATTTACAAATGTTTTAAACATTTTTGAGAAATGTTTCTCTAGCTCAGCTGGTAGAGCACTGGTCTTTGGGCCTAATGGTTGTGGGTTCAAATCCACCACGACCCTGTCGTTGTGTCCCTGGGCAAGACACTTAACCCCACTTTGCCTGAAGCCCCCACTAAAATATCAAGGCCATGTTTTCAATCACGGAGAAGCCATCACCCTGTGGACCCACCACCTGCAGAGGATCATTGAGACTTGGGGCAGCTCTGATTCAACCTTCAGGCTCAAAGGCCAATGCTCTACCAACTGAGCCCCTGTCGCCCATCATTTGTTATTTTTGGTAAATCAATCTTACCAAGATTATATTTTTTTCACTGACCTGTTTAAAATGTCATTCACTGTGACCTGTCGGGTTTTCAGCTGCCCTGGGTTCACATTCTGGAGTGTATCCAGCCTGATTCTCTGTTCTCCAGTGCTTTATGGAGATTAAAATCTATTTTAAAAAGCTCTGGGGCTTTGGCAATGCCATATGTAAAGTCACAGGGACACAAATGAAAACAGCATTTCACTTTGCTGTCTTTTTGGATGAGTGTTTGTGGATGAGTCTTTGTGGATGAGTCTTTGTGGATGAGTGTTTGTGGATGAGTCTTTGTGGATGAGTCTTTGTGGATGAGTCTTTGTGGATGAGTCTGGTAGAACATACATCAGGAGCTCTATATGTTGCACTTTTTTTTTTTTTTGCAATCTAGCATAGAGCTGTTATTTTGGCAGCGCTCCCAGGTTCAGGAAGTAACATTCCCCATTGATAATAATGTTATGTAGCTGCAAGACGTACTGTACATGTAGTTATACTGTATATCCTGAATGATGTTGTCTCTGTCTTGTATTTTTGTATTATTAATGTATTTTAATGGCTTTTTACCATCACGGCCGGAGACTACAGATTAAAAATAGCCTTCTTTGATAATTCTGTATTTTTTTACTCATGTTTAATCATGTGTTTTGTTAAATTGCATCGTTGCCTTTGAAACAAACTAAACTGAAACTGAAACTATTCACAGTGTTGTGGTTTCAGCTCAAAATAAGTATTTCAGTTTCAAAAGTGTTCAGCATTTTGTAGTTTTAAAAGTTTCAACAAAAGACTTCAAAGGTTTTGTTTATCGCGACTCACCAGGCGCCGTAGCAGATCAGTTTGACAAGTTTTATAATGTTTTAGAAATATATATTGGATTATATAAAGGCAGCCAGGAAGCCCCGCCCACTTTGCAGCTCCATTATAATTCTCAATAGAAATAGGACTCGAATTCAGTTCTGACATTTATAAATGAGATGTTTTGTGTAAATGTTTGTTTAGATGGAGCCGGGCGGCGAGGCTGGATCAGATTTCCCGGAGCCTGTAAAGTCGTTTTTGGTGACCGTCACTCTGAAGGAAGGACGCAACCTCGTGATCAGGGACCGCAGCGGTACGTCCTCATGACCTCCGACCTCAGCACTTATCAGACAGAGCTTGACCTGATGGATCGGCTCATTATGGCACACCAGGACCACAGCAGTGTAGACAGAGGAGTACAGACTGCCAACAATAGGTATGCACATGTGTGTATTCACATGTGTGTATTCACATGTGTGTATTCACATGTGTGTATTCACATGTGTGTATTCACATGTGTGTATTCACATGTGTGTATTCACATGTGTGTTTTCATATGTGTGTATTCACATGTGTGTATTCACATGTGTGTATTCACATGTGTGTTTTCACATGTGTGTATTCACATGTGTGTATTCACATGTGTGTATTCACATGTGTGTATTCACATGTGTGTATGCACATGTGTGTATTCACATGTGTGTATTCACATGTGTGTATTCACATGTGTGTTTTCATATGTGTGTATTCACATGTGTGTATTCACATGTGTGTATTCACATGTGTGTATGCACATGTGTGTATTCACATGTGTGTATTCACATGTGTGTATTCACATGTGTGTATTCACATGTGTGTATTCACATGTGTGTATTCACATGTGTGTATTCACATGTGTGTATTCACATGTGTGTATGCACATGTGTGTATGCACATGTGTGTATTCACATGTGTGTATTCACATGTGTGTATTCACATGTGTGTATTCACATGTGTGTATTCACATGTGTGTATTCACATGTGTGTATTCACATGTGTGTATTCACATGTGTGTATGCACATGTGTGTATTCACATGTGTGTATTCACATGTGTGTATTCACATGTGTGTATTCACATGTGTGTATGCACATGTGTGTATGCAGAAGGCTGTGGTCCCAAAGAACAAACATCACACAGTACAGTTCATATACACAGCGTGAGTGCAGCTGACACCACACTCGGATCAGGACCGTGTGAAACTAACCTTCAATTTTATCGCAATAATAAAAAGGTTATTATCTGCAGTGAGTTACATAAACCTCTGGAAACACCTGATGCCACAGTGGGGCGGCTGTAAAATACCACACTGTGGTTCTGTCCTTTGGCAAGACACTTCCCCCACATTAGAATGAGTCTGGTGTGTGTGTGAATGGTTGGTGGTGGTGGGAGGGGCCGATGGCACAGACTGGTTGCCTCTAGGGCTGGGACAACGCGTCGACGTAATCGGTGACGTCGACGCAAAAAATACACCGACGTATAATATGCGCGTCGGTGCGTCACACACAAAACAAAGATGGCGGCGAGCGGTAGCAATGCGAGTGCCGTAGAGAAGTGCAAGCCGGTGTAACGCTGAGATACACTGCCTTGAAGAGATGCACTGCCTCAGCTGTTTATGATGTAATGCAAACCTGCGCATGCGCGTCTCACGGCAGCCGAAGCAAACCAAGATGGCGGACCGTGAATTTCTTTAAAAGTTGAAATACGAACGAATCAAGACACGAATGTCACTTTTAATGCAATTTGAGGCGAGATGTTGATGGTTCCGTTTTGTCACATGTGGGTTTTAAGAGTCAAAGTTTCGTGCAAAGTTTAGTTTAAGCAGTCAACTGCGCCTGTGAAACCACAAAGCTAATGTTTTCATAGCAGTCCGCGGCTGCTGACGTAGGCTGATGACGTAGGCTGCTGACGTAGGCTGCTGACGTAGGCTGATGACGTAGGCTGCTGACGTAGGCTGCTGACGTAGGCTGATGACGTAGGCTGATGACGTAGGCTGATGACGTAGGCTGCTGACGTAGGCTGATGACGTAGGCTGATGACGTAGGCTGCTGACGTAGGCTGCTGACGTAGGCTGCTGACGTAGGCTGATGACGTAGGCTGCTGACGTAGGCTGCTGACGTAGGCTGCTGACGTAGGCTGCTGACGTAGGCTGCTGACGTAGGCTGATGACGTAGGCTGCTGACGTAGGCTGCTGACGTAGGCTGATGACGTAGGCTGATGACGTAGGCTGCTGACGTAGGCTGATGACGTAGGCTGATGACGTAGGCTGATGACGTAGGCTGCTGACGTAGGCTGATGACGTAGGCTGATGACGCGTCCTGTGGCAACTCGACACTCTTACAACTGGTCTGTCTTTCTTTGTATCAAACGGAATATTGGCGCCCGTAATAGCCCCTACATGTATTATTCACTGTCATGCCCGCCGTATATGGACATTTTTCAACATGTGTTCAATATCCTTAATGTGTTTAACTGTTGATTGATTCTCTGATCTGTGTTGGTGACTTCAATGTTGTTTTAAGTCCTCTGAGATGACTTCTACTGTATTCTTTCAGTAACTCTAAAAGAAAGGATGACTGGTTGACCTTTTTATTTGCTACACAATGCATTGTTTTTCTCTTGTACACTCTTACTTGAGTTTTATTTTTGAATTTTGAGTTTAAGAAAAAGGTGAGTGGCAGAGTTTTGACTGTTATTTTTATATGAATGAAGAATTTAAGAGATGCACTTTAATTAATGGACTTCAGTAATATAGGCCTATGTGTCTTCAACTTAAATGTTAAACTCTGTTGGTTCAGGAAGGACGCCATGACAGGCTGATGGCTCCCACTGTTTTTGCTGGAAAAGCACTCTTTGTTTAGCTTAAAGCCTTCAAGTTTACATTGGTTACTGTTTTCTTTTAGTTGCTCTACACAAGTATTTGGCTAAACATTTTCATATTTTTATTGAATGCTAAGCATCAAATGTTTGTTTCAAGAATGATAAGATGCACTTTTTTCAGTAAGCTGTGTTTTCAAGGCTTTAAGGTTTTACGCTACCTCTAAGAATGTCTTATTTTTGAATTTTAAGAGCAAGCAATAAATATTTTTTAGGAAGGAATTTATGTTTTTTTCATAAAAATATTTAAATCAACATGTACACATCAATATTAGTCAATTAATGGGGAGATAATCAAGAATCGAATCAAATCGAAATCGAATCGAAGCAAAAAAAATAATCGTTAGATTAATCGATGCATCGAAAAAATAATCGCTAGATTAATCGTTTAAAAAATAATCGTTTATCCCAGCCCTAGTTGCCTCGCTTCTGTCAGTGTGCCCCAGGGCAGCTGTGGCTACAGTAGTAGTTTATCACCGCCGTGTTTGGAGAGAGAGAATAATGATGTGAAGAATCTTAAATGTCTAAAAACCAATGTGTCGTTATTATTAGGCCGAGCCAATACGAAGTATTGGGGAGGCCTATTGTTATTCACCGGTTTCATATTATTCTTTTTTTTCCGCATCTTCAATTCGATTTTTGACCCTGAAGACATGCACGAAAGTCTGCACATGGGGGGTCTAAAACGACCGGTCCGGCGAAAAATTTAATAAAATGAACGTTTCCAGATTGTCCGACGCTCGCCGACTCTATAACGCCCCCTAGAAATTTCATTTTTTTTGACCCTCTGGGGATTTTTTTTCAAATATTGGAGTAGGTACACGAAATTCGGATGAGTGATAGATCTCTATGAGACGAGCATAAAAGCCGTTCTAAGCACATGTCTGGGACCGACAGGAAGTCGGCCATGATGGGCCGAAGTTTCGCCACTAATTTGACTTTTCATTTATAAATTCGAACTAGTCCCTGGTTTTTCATCGCACAGACTTCTACCATGTCATTTCTATATCTGGACGGATTGAAGTTATGTAATCATCGCATAAAAGTTAGAATTTTGTTATCGTTTTCATGCAAGGTAGTGGGGAATTTCTCCATGTTTGATGCTCTCCTGACCACAGGCTCAGACCTACAGAGCTGAAACTCACATCACTAACAGTTGGTAATGGCCTGAGAGTAATGGTGTGAAAACACACACCTAATATGACTCTACAGCGCCACCTATGTAAGGCTTCTGACCTAAACTTTTCCGATCTTCACCAAAGTTGCAAAATCAAATCTTTACATCTGTACGAGCAAAATACTACTCTACGTAGAGGGTGCATGTCCCGGAGGTGACCACTAGGGACGCACTTTATCATATAAATGAGCTTTTATATATGTAATCCTGGTCAGATCGGGCTGCCAATTCGTCTGCGTGACGCTTGTGGGACTGGCGCCCAGGAGGCGGTCGCAAGAGGGGCGAGGCCTTTCATCGCCGCTTGCGGCTTTAATTATTGATTTATTATTACGACACAGCGGCTCTTTGTATTCACCTGGTTTTATTTCAACTTTTTGCTCTCATTAATAGTCCATGTTGTTCGTCTCAACAGAAAGAGTATTCTTTAAGTGAAATGTTTTGAACAAATCTAAAAACAACATGCTGTCGTTTTCTTATAAGAAAACTTGGTGCACACTTGTAAGAAAGATCCCTGTTAGTCACTATTTGATGCTTTGGGCTGAGTGAAAGTGCAGCTCTCTTTCACACGTTTCTCTCTGAAAAAAGTTGATCTAAAGATATGACAGAGGCCAAGAATACACGGATGTGAAAACCAGTGATGGACCCAAACTAGTTCCATGTGTTTTATTGTATTTTAAAAACCAGCGCTGCTATTGCCACTTTTTATTGTACATAATAGAACCCGCACTGACTATATTTTTTACCTTAAACAGTTTGTTCTTCTGTCATTTCCACAATCTGAGTGATTTTATCTATGCCAAATTTCTCCAGTGTGAGATCAATATAGTCTCTTATCTTATCTTATCTTATCTTATCTTATCTTACAGTTTAGCGTTTGCATTTGTAACTCCAAGTCTTAATGAATATGCAGTTAATCATTTGGCTGCAGAACTGAAGTACAGTATTTGTGGAAGAGTTCAAAAGTATGAGGTGTGACTGTAACTCTTACTGTGACGTCCACATACCACGCATTCCAACACTGCAATTACTCAAAAACATCAAAGCGTGTTTCTGCTCTTTCATCGAGGCTTTGTGCTGTTTTTTCTAATGTTATGTAAAATAACATTAGACCAAAATAACAAATATTTAAAGGAGCAGTGTGTAAACATGTGGCCAAAAGTGGTACTGCAGCCTCTCCCACTCTCCCTGACTCAGGTTGCCAGATATGCAGACGAATCCAGCTGGGACCATAACAGCTGAATAGACAAGAGTTTTGTCAACAACAAATCTATAACCAACACCTTTTTCACAAAGATAGAAATCCTGGTTTTATTCCTTGTTTTGTCGTTAATGATTTGAGAATCATAACGAGGCCTTTTTTAGTTCTGCGCCACATGGTACTTTACCAGTGAGATTAGCTCCACATGGTGAGTTCTGGCGCCCGGATCACAGACTTTCTGATTGGTGAAACGGTGGAGGGCGGGACATCGAAATGAAAACAATAACAAGATTTAGAGGCTGGAAAAGTAATTTAGAAATTCAAATATCTCTGAACTACTTTTATTAGTTAAAGAAGTATTGGGAAAGAACAGTTTATTATTATGACAGATTAGGGCCGTTTAACTCATTCACTGTCAATTAAAAAGTAACATCCCTCATACTGCCAGAGATTTTGGACATTTTTAGTGTTTTTTCCGAACCGCATAGAAATGTGAGCCCTTGGATGACACAAGTTTGAAACATATTAAAATGAAAGCTCTATCCCTTGGCTTTCATTTAAAAAAAAAGTTTCTAACCCTTTTAGTTTTTTAGCAATTGAGAGTAGAACATAGGTAACTTTCACACAAAATGCTGTTTCCTGACCAAGATTTGGAGAAAACAGCCTTTTTGTGAAACGCGCATTTTCAAGCAGAAAAGTGTTGTTTTTTTTTGTCTTTACTGATATTTTACAATTTATGACAGTTTCTTACTATGACAAAAAACAGAAACAATACTTTGAATTGCATTTTTTATGTATAATTATTTTCAAACAAATTAAACATGTACATACAATACATTCAAAGGATTGTCTTATGTACACATAAAATATTCAACTTGTATACAATAAAAACACTTTGTACACAAATATACAGTAAAAATAACACTTGCTGAACACTTTTTGAAACAATTTTACTTTAGTTTATAAAGAATAGTAATTAGGTGACCCCACACTCTGCTGAAGTGTGGAATCTACTTCCTCCGCACTCCCAATACATTTCCAGATTAGTTTTTTTTTACAAACCCAGTGAGAAATGTCAAACCAAAAAAGGTTTTTAGCTGCTAGACTGTCACTGGCCATGCATTTTCTCTGCTGAATGGGAGACGCTGTGTGTGTGCACTGAAATATTGTGCTGCATACAGCTTTGTCTGTTCGACAACAAGATCCAGGATCCAGAAGTTCATCAGTTATGAAGAGCTGCAGAAGTCAGCTGCTGATCCAAATCAAGCTCTGCTGCAGCATTTGGGGTCAACAATCTACAACACACAGAAAAATATAAAATCACCAAACATTTTCACATTATAACAAGTGTTTTGGCTTCAGCAGCTATGACATTGAGATAAAAAAAACTCTTCAATACTCGCTAAAAACGCTACTTTATGTTTATTTTTACAATAGTATAAGCCAGCTAGTCACTCCCTCCAGAATCTCTCAATGTGTGAACGCAAAATCACGCAGACTCTGGGATCAGAGCAACAGAGTCAGTCTTTCTCTCCCTGTTCCAAAGCAGCAGCGGGCGCGCTCCTGACGCACCCTCCACAGTGAGACGCACCGCAGCAGAATGCACATGGTGCGGTAAATCTAACACTTGTTGCTCATCATGGGACCTGCTCACCGGTCTGCCATGGATCACTTCCCCCTGTCCCTTCTATAAACCACACGGGAACATAATCCATAGCTCCCTGGCAGCTAATGCTGCATGCCAGATTCACACGCCTCCAAACTCAAGAAGGAAACTTTTAGAAAAATGTCCCGCGTAATCAAGCATTTTACCCCGCAATAATCATTCATCAATCAACAATTGCGCGCAAAATCCTGGAGAGGCTGATAGTACATTAGACAAAGAGGAGAAATAAACTCGTAAATGCAACATGTTGAAGTGAAAAGCAACTCACCACATTACGACGGGGGGAGGAGCCGCTGCTGCTGCTGGACGAGGAGGGAGGGAGAAGCCTCCGAGGATCCTGGAGTCTCATGTTAACTAAAACCTGAAGAACTAGCATCGGGGCATCTAGCTGCTTCATATTTATCCGTTTGATGACTGAACAGGCTCTCAAACAGCGTTAGCTGCGTGAGCTTCTCAGATCCGCGGTCCTTTTGTGTAAGCATGGCTGCTCCTCTGGCTGTTACCCGCTCACAGCACCACATGCCCCCTTCTCCCTCCCTGGATCTGGCCACAGTGTCACCCCTGCCCCCCACAGGATCGGTTCCAAAGTGTTTACAGGTCTGAAATGTTGACACAGGATGCACAAGAGCCTTGACGAGCCATAGAAAGAAAAAAACGGGGGAAAAAAAGCGATTTACGTCTATAGACGTTAATGGCGGTGAATGAGTTAATGACGACAGATTAGGGCTCTTTAATGATGACAGATTAGGGCCCTTTAATGATGACAGATTAGGGCCCTTTAATGATGACGGATTAGGGCCCTTTAATGACGACAGATTAGGGCCTTTAATGATGACAGATTAGGGCCCTTTAATGACGACAGATTAGGGCCTTTAATGACGACAGATTAGGGCATTTAATGATGACAGATTAGGGCCCTTTAATGATGACAGATTAGGGCCCTTTAATGACGACAGATTAGGGCCTTTAATGATGACAGATTAGGGCCCTTTAATGACGACAGATTAGGGCCCTTTAATGATGACAGATTAGGGCCCTTTAATGATGACAGATTAGGGCCCTTTAATGATGACAGATTAGGGCCCTTTAATGACGACAGATTAGGGCCCTTTAATGATGACAGATTAGGGCCCTTTAATGATGACAGATTAGGGCCCTTTAATGATGACAGATTAGGGCCCTTTAATGACGACAGATTAGGGCCTTTAATGATGACAGATTAGGGCCCTTTAATGATGACAGATTAGGGCCCTTTAATGATGACAGATTAGGGCCCTTTAATGATGACAGATTAGGGCCCTTTAATGACGACAGATTAGGGCCTTTAATGATGACAGATTAGGGCCCTTTAATGATGACAGATTAGGGCCATTTAATGATGACAGATTAGGGCCCTTTAATGACGACAGATTAGGGCCTTTAATGATGACAGATTAGGGCCCTTTAATGATGACAGATTAGGGCCATTTAATGATGACAGATTAGGGCCATTTAATGATGACAGATTAGGGCCCTTTAATGATGACAGATTAGGGCCCTTTAATGATGACAGATTAGGGCCCTTTAATGATGACAGATTAGGGCCCTTTAACGATGACTTAACATGAAAATCTTACATATTGCTGCTTAAACATGAACATCGGCCTCACCATTACAACTCATTAAATATCATCCACTTTGAACCATTGTGGCCTTTTTATAACGTATGCGTTCGAGCCTTGTGCTGTGGTGTGAATATCCCATTACAGCTGGCGAACAGCCCAGTGTCAGGTTCACGGCAGAAGCAGGATTCCACACGGCTTTTTAGAACCTGTCTGCGCCACACCCACTATTCTCTCTTCTTCAGAACTCCATTCACTCTGCATGTGCTTGGATCGCCTCCGGGGCCCATAGTTTCATGCGTGCGCAGCTACATAATGCGGAGAGAGAGAATAGAGAAGGCTCAAGGAATTATGCTTTTTCTACATTACGGTTAAGAGCATGTGGTTTGTTTAAATTATAACATGGAAAGCCTTTATGAGCTCGGAGACATCTGCTCGCCGGGGAGTAAAGCATGACATTGCACTGAGCGGCGGGAGCGTGGGCGCCTGGGTGGTCATCACGTATAGAAAGAAAGTGTTGTGCATTGATTATTTAGAAGAATTTAGACTCACACAATGGAGAGGTTTGGATGCAATGGGGTTAATGAGTAACTTGGAATAGTGGTGGGGACTTTAAAAGGAAATAATAAGGTTGGACTATGAAAAAAATATGTTACTTTGTTGGTTAATTGTAGGGCTGTAAATAAGGATTATTTTGATAATTAATTAGATTTTGATTAATCCATTTGTTCTGGCCACGCAGTGAATATGCAAATAGTTATCTACATTTGACCAAAAAAAAGCTGAGGTGATTCCCACTGAATAAAAATGATTAAATATGAGGTAATGCTTGAATCGAGTGGTTTTTATCCTAGTTTGAGCACATTCTGACTGACTTAGAACAAGATTTCAAAAACTGGTGCTTTCTTGTATCTTTTCAAAACAACATAATTTTTTTTATCCCATTGGCAAATCTTGTTTTAAGGCAGTCAGAATTTGCTCAAATAAAGGTACATTTTGCCAGATTCAAACCATTTCTGACAAATTTTTCCTCTCTTTTTTTAAGTAATGGGGATATCTTCATAGAAATAACTTGGCTTGTTTGATTAAAAATTCTGTAAACACATTTTCATCCACTTCTGCTGCCACATCAGAATCTGAATCATCTCCGCGTGTTTCATGTAAACTGTTACAGATTTACCGTTTTGTGAATCTCCATTTCTATGTTTGCAGGAACAAGCGACCCGTACGTCAAATTCAAAATGGATGGAAGGACGTTCTACAAAAGCAAAGTCGTGTATAAAAACCTGAACCCCTTATGGAACGAGACATTTTCGATGCCTGTTAAAGATTTGAACCAAAAGCTGTATATTAAGGTAAGTAAATATTCAACATGTCGTTCTTGCACTGTAAACCCTAACAAGTAAAGTTTTACATTTTAAATCTTGCTCCGACCAGGAGTTGAACTCACAATCTTGAAGTTGAGAGGTGAAGGTGCTCCCCACTCAGCCACTGTGCTGCCTTGCCCCATTCACACCTGTCTCATTTAAGACTCTACACGTCAAAATGTCAAAAGTGAGGCTTACTTGAACAGAGAGAGTTCAATTCAAAGAAAATCCTGAGTGATATCGCCAAGCCTTAAATAAACTAACAATAAATGAGTAATATCCACTTACTGGGAAAAATCTATTTAGAATAACTTTGATATCTAAAGTACGATTGAAGTTAGGGTTTACAGTGTGTGTTGGATTTACATAATGTGTAATAACTGTTTCTGCTTTTCCTCAAATATAGGTGTATGACCGGGATATCACCACCGATGACTTTATGGGATCGACAAGTGTCATTCTGAGTGAACTGGAGATGGACAAGTGAGTATCTGCGAGGCCCGAACAGAAAACACGACTAGTAAAGGATAAAAACATTGTACCTTAGGCTTTATAGCACGGGTCTGCAACCTTTTGTCAATCAGAGAGCTACTTTTATACATCAGAAGAGGCAGAGAGCTACACCTTTTTGTGGTCATAATAAAAGGCTATGTAATAATTATGACAAAACATAGAAAAGATATGAAAATATATCATAAAACTGTATAACCCTATCTTTATACTTATAATAGAGCTGTAGTGACTCAAAGGTCAATTATTCAAGATCACTTGTTAAGTTCTAAATCCTTTGGAGACCCCTGCTTTTTAGTTTTATTACAAAACACAATGCACCATTTATGACTATTGAGAAATATAAACCACTTCAGTACATCAGGGTTTTAACTATTTTAACCATTAAAATGGGCTAAAAATGTATAAATAAATAAAAAACAGCTCCATTCTGTTCATATGTTAAATGGTAAATCTCAAATGACCAGCAGGGGATGTCTTTATAACATAGACTGTAAATATTAAAAGACGTAGTCACGCCTATCTCCGCTGTTGAAACTTATGTGCCACCACTTTTACCTTCTGTGGCTTTTTCAAAAATGGCCGCAGGGCAGAAAAATGTGAAAAAAAACCATTTGTGCATGCGTCAGCTGCACTAGCCTCATTCATTTAACAGGTGCATTCAAAAGTCCACAGTGGCTAAACTAGACTGGTCCAAAAACTACACTCCCCTCAGCATTGACAGAATCTGGAAGTCGCTCTTTGGGCCAAGAACAACTTTTGGACCATTCTATAAAGACGTTTTTTGGGAGGAAAGAAGACACCACACAAAAGGCAGCTATACCTGGTTTAACCCTCGACAGCGAAGATATTCTCATTTAGCAAACATTTGTCCCGAGCAAAGAAAATGTAGAAATACAAGGTGTACCAAGTATTTTTGTGACTTTCCTTCGGTCCATGTCAAACTGACTTATTTAATTACATCTTATTTATAATATTGAGCTTTGCAGAATATTCCAAGTTGCACTGGCGTCCTAGAATTCAGATTCAGATTCATTTATTTGCCATTTTCAGTAAAACCACATTGAAAAAACTGTGCAAGACTACCCCAGTGTGCACACACACCAGAGCTCTTGCCACGGCGCCATGCAATGTTCTGGCGCCCGGATCACAGACTTTCTGATTGGTGAAACGGTGGAGGGCGGGACATCGAAATGAAAACAATAACAAGATTTAGGGGCTGGAAAAGTAATTTAGAAATTCAAATATCTCTGAACGACTGTTATCAGTTAAAGAAGTATTGGAAAAGAACAGTTTATTATTATGACAGATTAGGGCCCTTTAATGATGACAGATTAGGGCCCTTTAATGATGACAGATTAGGGCCCTTTAATGATGACAGATTAGGGCCCTTTAATGATGACAGATTAGGGCCCTTTAATGATGACAGATAAGGGCCCTTTAATGATGACAGATAAGGGCCCTTTAATGATGACAGATTAGGGCCCTTTAATGATACCAGATTAGGGCCCTTTAATGATGACAGATTAGGGCCCTTTAATGATGACTTGACATGAAAATCTTACATTTTGCTACATTAATGATTTATGTCTATTTTTTGACACAATGTATCCACCTGTTCTCTGGGTTTTTATCAAAAAATGTCCTTGATTTAAAAATGTTCTCTTTAGTAGACGTTTACGAGCAGCATGTATGGAGTGAATGAATATTACCATGTGAAGTGTCTTTGAGTGTCCATAAAAACACTTTATAAAACCAACACCATATTATTGTTATCAATATTTTCCACTTTTCCCAGGGTAAACACACTGTCCCTGCCGCTGAACGACCCCAACAGCCTGGAGGACGACATGGGGCTCCTGCTGCTGGACGTGACGCTGGCGCTCAGAGACGTAGGCGTCGGTAAACTCAATGTAGGCTCCAACAAACCCTTCTGTGACGTGACCAGCACTGCATACCAGACGCATGCTTACAACTGTGTGTGTCACGGCCTACTAACCTGTGTTGTTTTGTCTAACATGCATGCACCGGTTGCAGCGATGGTCCCGAAAGCGCAGCATTAGGGTAAGGCTTCATAGACATCATGCATTTATGACATTTTACTTCGACTTATTAACCCTTTAGGCGCCACAGGGTCTTTGCTAAAGGCTCATTTTTGGCATCTTAATTACTTGCTAACTTAAAAGTGATAAGAAATGGGCTTTACCTGAATTAGATACATTATAAGGATGACCCAAAGTTTATGCAAGAATGAAATGTACCAATCTCATTTGCATATTATGGTGGTGACAATGGTGGATTACACTGGGTAACAAAAAATATTTTTTGAAAATAGTCCAGGGTTTTCAGCTGAATTAGACTAATGTCGATGCTCTGAGTCCGGAAAATGACCTTGGTTTTGCTCAATCAGGTCAGGATTTTTTGCTGCAGAAATATTTTTTTTTATCGCTTTTGCGTAAAAAACAAATTCCTGCAGATCATCAGCTGAGACACTTAACCCCACTTTGCCCAAAGCCCCCACTGGAAGATCAAGGCTATGCTCACAGTCAGAGAGCAGCCGTCCTCCTGTGGACTCACCACCTGCAGAGGGTCAGTGAGGGGCTGGTGCTATGAGACTTGGGTGGCATCTCTGACTGCCACCCCCCTGACCCAGAAATGGATTAAAGGGTAGAAAATGGATGGATGGATGGCATCAGCTGAGAAACCCTTGACGTTTATTCCGTTTTCCTCAAGAAATAAAAGTCAACGTATCCAAAGTCATTCAGTTTTTATTTACTCCATCAAATTTGATAAGCAGAATTCATAATAACGTAGACGTACATAATCCATAACACTATGGCTGTATCTCACACAGTTGACCTGATAGAGCAACATGCATGTGATATTCAGACTCAGAACACCAACATTAGTCTGAATCAGTTGAGAAACCCCTGAGCGTTTTTTGGCTGTCAACTTGTGTTTTCATTAAATATATATATTTTTCAAACAGAACTCACACTGTACCACACTCAAGTCCCTAATCCACGACACTTTATACAAAAACCTGGCGTCACCCAAACCATTCTGTCAAACTCATTTTGGTCGGGGGCCAGATTTAAAAACATAAGAGCTCATTGGGGCCAAAAGTGTTTTTCTTATACATATTTTTTTGACCAATACATATTATTTGACATGAGTTTGCATATTATTTTCTCAGCCAAGTATCATGTAATTGAAAACTGATAGTTATAAAAATATCTCTTAGACCTACCTTAACTTCTGATTAGTTAAAGTGCCAGTTAAAATTTTAGAACAGATTAAATTATATGGTTGTTTTCTTGAAGTATCCAATTACCAACAACGCTGCAAGTAACTGTAATAATAACAATTAAAAATCATTTCAGGGGCCAATAAAAATGGTGGTGCGGCCGAATTGAGCCCACAGGCCAGAGTTTGATATTCCTGCTCTACACCTTTCTTACATGTTTGTATTTTATTCATTTCTGTTGTTGATTTTTTTATTGTCCTGTCTCTCTTTTTTGAAGTTACAGGGTTTTACAGATTATTTCAATTCAATTCAATATATTGTCCTTAATCAGAACTTCAAATTTCTCAAAGTCTATTTTATCTTATCTTAAAACCGCTGAATTTGTCAACACAGATCAGAGAATCAAACGATAAAAACACCTTCGGTCCATAAGCGGCAGATGACCAATGCACAAAAATGCTGATAATTTCTGAACACTGGCCCTTAAAAGTTTAATAAGAGCTTACCTTGGCTGTTGTCCTTTGCTTAGCAGTGGTTATGCATTTTCTGTCCACCAGAGGGCAGCAAATCTTTGAAATGAAATGCTCAAAACGGCATCGAGAACCAACTAAAAAACATAGCATCGTTTCTTGTGCTTTATTGATATAAATGCATGCTTTCTGCTAAAAATAAGTCTGAGCATCTGCCGCCTTTGTTGATGAATTCATGTTTTTTTCAGTTTTGCGATAGCAGTGACATCACAAAGACATATAATCTTCATATATGTGTTTATTATAATTGTAGATTCATATAACCAAGGTTTAAATCTCTACGCTGTCGTATAACGGTGTAATGGCCACTTATTGTAATTCCCTCTGTCCTCGTGAAGGTACTTGAACGTGGGTGTGTGTGTGGGTGTGTGTGTGTGTGTGTGTGTGGGGTGGGGGGCTGCACCTGCGGGAGGGCATCAGGGCAGTTTCATGTGCTTTATTAATTGATTCGGGGTTAAACAGTTGTCCCTGCAGCTTTGTGTCAGAATAGAAGCGCAGCTAATTATCCTCCTATATATCCTTGTTCTGTGTAAAGGCGTCCTGTAGGTACTTCATCTTCCTCCTCATCGTCAAATGTAAACCGTATGAGTCAAAATAGGACGAATTCTATATTTTTTTGGTTCGGATTGTACTTTTCATATTGAATTTTACAGAACTTTTAAGCACAATCACTTTTATATATATGTTTTTATATATCCCCTTCACACTCATTACCAACCCCACCTCCCTTTGAAATGGGACCAACTCAATTCATTTCAATGTATTTTGGTATACAGCCCTAAATCACAACAGTAGTTATCGCAGAGGTCTTAACAAAATTTGCCAACACAGATTAGATAAGAAAAACTGTTAAAACTCAGGAAAAGCTACAGTTAAAAACTATGGCTCTATATTAATAACGTAAAAAACACATAGAGCCGTTGGTCCTTAAGGGGAGCATGACCAATGTCCATAAATATTTATAAATGTCTCCTTAAATGTCCTGGATCATCACCACTGTCCTTAGACCCTCAACCAGGTCAGCTTGGTGAGTAATAAAATATTGCAAAAATTATCTGTCAGGTTGAAGTTTTACACAATATTGAATCCAGAGTCAAAGGTCAATCAATCAATCAATCAATCAATCAATCACTTTATTTATCCCCGAGGGGCAATTAAAAAGCACGGAGAGTTGCAAGTTAAATGCTTAAAAACATCAATAAAAAACACATAAATACATTCACACACACATCCTGTATAAGTTCATGTTAGGAGCGTTTTAACACTGCGCTGGGGAATGACTGGTCTGAGTTCAGCAGCTGAATCACTGTTGGAACAAAAGTGGACCTTCTCCTCTGTGTCCTACATCCCACCGAGCGCAGCCTCCTCCCTGAAGGCAGCCACTCAAACACAGGGAAGAGAACATGAGCAGGGTCACCCAGAATCCTACAGGCCACTCTCATGGCCTGCTGATCACACAGGGCAGGAAGGGATCTGATTGGCAGGCCAATCAGAGTCAAAGGTCTGTAGAACATTTCGGGTTTTAATTGTTGTTATGGAATTATGTACGGTCTATATCAGTGTTCCCCAACCTTTTTGAACAAGGTCAAAAGCAACGCAATTCTCCTCAATGTGTATTTTAGAACACGGCCATTCCCATAGTCAGTAAAACCGCGGCCGCCTTAAAAATCTTGGGTCTGTGCGGCCCCCGAGATAATAACCAAGAACACAAGGTTAAAAAAAGGCTGTTCTCGTTATTTTATTTTGGGGAAACAGCCTCTGCTACAAACACGTGAATGACGCACCCCATTTTGTAAGACAAAAATGATTACAATTTGATTATTCAAGTCAAATAATGAACACAAATATTTTAATTTTACAAACAAAATATTTTTTATAATTTTATAAAACTGTTTTTTTTTTATGACCTGTCCCTGCGATACCCGCGGACCCCACTTTGGGAAACACTGATAAAACAAATCAAACAAGCACAAAAAAATCTTTCTAATCATTTCATTTTTTATTTATTTTTGCCTTGATTTTGACCTCGAAACAGGTGATTTTGGACCATTTCTAAGGCACTGAAGCAAACACACAATCACAAAGCTGTGGACATTGCATTTTCTCTTAACAACAAAAATAATCGCATTGCATGTTATTCTTTGGTCATTTAGTAAAAATAATTGACTCAGATTCTCCCTAATCCGCCCGATTACTACAAAAGTCTGATTTCAGTGGGCTTAAAAAAAGGTGTTGTAATTCCTCCGCTCCCACTGAAAGCCTGTGTGTAGTTGCTGTGTGTGTGTTTTGTGTGACCACGGTTTTGCTCCTGCAGTCAGTGAACCCACAAGCGAGTTTCCGCCTGTCCGAGTCTCTAAAGAAGAGCCAGTTGTGGACGTCGGTGGTGACAGTGACTCTGCTGAGGGGCCATGACCTGCCCGTGGAGCCTTCAGCCGGACACTACTTTGTCGCTTTCAGACTTGGAGAGCAGAGGTTTAAAAGCAAGGTACTTTTTTTTCCCACATACTGATATATAATGAAGGCAAGACGAGGCAAGTTTGTGTGTATAGCATAATTTATACAGAAGGAAACTCAAAAGTGCTGAACAAAACAATATGGAGACAGTCGCACAGGGCATTCGAATCATGAATAATCACAGCGCATTAAAAAGAATGATAAAAAATATTAAATCCCAGAACTGTTTTTGACCTGGGTTTAAACCAGTGTGGGTGGGTCCCGGCTCAAAAGTGGCCAAAATGACGTGCGCTGACATGCTGCAGTACCACCCCGGGCCTGTGGGGGTGCGCCAATGCTAACGTATAGCATCTTCTTACCTCCTCGAAAACGTCTTTACAGGATGGTCCAAAAGTTGGCTCTTGGCCCAAAGCTCCGTTCCACATGTGTGTCAATGCTGAGTGTTCTGGACCAGTCTAGTTTAGTCGCTGTGGACTTTAGAAGTCACTCGTTTGGCTGACACATGCGAAGATGCGTTTTTTTTCAACGGCGGAGATTGGGTGATTACGTCCGTTAATATTTATAGTCTATGGTTTAAACCTTGTCAGAGAAGAGGCCTGTCTCGCATTTTCAGGAAGATTCTTGTCATGAATCTGAAGTCTGTGGCGTCTTACATACATACACAACAGACGTACATTATTGGGTCTACTACTCGCTGGTTGCCATGGTTTTGTTAATTCTTTGCCTTACACACCCTAATTTGGTATTAAACAATATTTAAAGACAGATTTTTTACCGCTCATAAACCTAAATTCTTCCATTGGTTCCACTCGCCTCTCCACAGACATGGCTCGTAACTCCCAGGAAAGTCACTTGCGCAATAACAGTCGTATTTGGAAATGTTAAACGACAAACCGTGGAACGTTCCGGGAAAAACAGCAACATTTATGGACCAAATGAGAAGCAGGAAAGTTTCAGAATGCGTCTTTTAATGCTTGGGTACCTAACTTTAAGACCACAGTGAATGGATCCATGTTTTGAAATCCATTTAACTGGTCGAAGTTCCTCAGGTTTTGAAACATTTTGGTTTTGTGACTAGTTTTCATACGTCTCGGCCACATCTTCAGATCAGCTTTACATAATTACTGACTTAGGTAAAAAATAAAATGGGGTTAATTAAGATGAAATTAGCATTTTGTGGTCTGATTTGACTTTTCATAAAACTACTGTATCTGTCTCTATATCTATCTATCTATGTATCTATGTATAATTAACCACTAATGCTATGGATACTACTTTCAGAAACAAAACAAAATGGCCAATCCCCAGTGGAAGGAAAAGTTTTCGTTTAACCAGTTCATGGACAGTCCAGACATTTTGGAGGTGGAAGTCTGGGCCAAGGAGGGGCGCAAGAACGAGGAATGTCTGGGAGTGTGAGTACCCAACGCCTGCCACCTTTTCATACCCCCCCCCTCAACTCTCACAGCCACCAAATATGCAAATCTCCATGAAGGGTTGTTAGTGAATGCAAATGGGACAGTATGAAGCAGGTGTGCGGTGTCCTGTATGTGTTTTGTGTTGCGCGCAGGTGTGAAGTGAACCTGCCCCACATCGCTGTCAATCAAAGGCAGCTCGTCACGCACACGCTGGAGCCGGGGAGGGGCCGCGTGGTCTTCCTGGTGGAGACGAACACATGCAGCGGCGTCTCCCTGTCCGACCTATGCAACGCGCCGCTTGACGAGCCGCACCAGCGACAGAACCAGCTGGAGAACTATGTCAGTATCCAAACATCTGGGTGCTCTTCTAACTTCACATGACGCGGCCACACAGCTGGCAAATATCATCACTGTCTAATTTAGCATCCGTCCCCCAAAAAAGTTTATCATGAATCAAGTTGTGAGATTGTTTTCTGATCAAAACTGTTTAGATTTACAGCCATCATATTGTTATTCTACTGGACCACATCATTTATATTTTATTTAATTTTCTCACCTTTTCCAGACACCTTTTTGTCGCAAAAAATATAAAATTATGGATTTAAATAAATTATTGACTGACAGCCGTTTTTGATGATTTCACTGATTCTCAAGACCCACAGAATATTATCTCCTAAGCCTATGTGAAATATGAAACCAGATTCTGAAAGACTGCATTGTCAACTTTGATCCGCAAAAATAAGTTTATTTCTAGCTATTTTTATTGTTCTGTAACCCCCAGTGGAACATAGGATCTCAGACAAATACGTCAATGGCAGTTAATGAGTTAAAACTAATCCAAAATCAGTGTAGAGCAAAAACACAGGGATCGAGGACAAAAACCGAAAAACAGACGGGAAGTGACAATAACGGAACAGGAAGTGGAGGAACACACAGGGCTAAATACAATACTGACCAGACACAGGTGACACGCATGAGGGCGGGGCAGGTGATCAAACAGGAAGTGCATCTGAAGAATACACAGGGATTTAACAAACTTCAAAATAAAACAGGAAATAAATCTAAACCATGACACCTTTATGAGTAATTGGCTGAGTGGGTAACACAAACCAAGAAAGAAGGGGCTGGGTTTGAATCCCGGTCGGAACAGGGCCTTTCTGAGTGGAGTTTGCATGTTCTCCCTGTGTCCGCGTAGGTTTCCTCCAGGTGCTCCGGTTTCCCCTACCACTAAAAACATGTAGAAGAGTTCTGGCATGTGCCTCCTGTACTGGCCCCGCTCCCATCTCTGTACGGAGAGAGAGACTAATGCCCAAAAATATTAATTTTAAAGTGCTTTGTGACTCTGGTCTGAGAAAGGCGCTATATAAATAATGTTTACTTACTTACTAAAGTCATGTGACCATAGTGGATGTGCGGACAAAGAAGTGGTAGATACTTTGTGACAATTTAGCTCCAGACGAGAACAATTTCAAACAGTAAGGATTTTTCACATGCATGTAAAATGCTGATACATCGGTGACTGAGTGGAGTTTGCATGTTCTCCCCGTGTCCTCTGGATGCCTCCAATCAGCTCTTAGCACAACGTGTGAAATAGTGACTCACAGGGCTCTAACTTATTAAGAACGCTAATAATGTTTTGTAGAAGATGTTTGGCTGATATGTTCACAACAAAAAAACACTCTATATTTTTAATTAATGAATTGTAGCTTTAATGACGTTCTACACTTAGAGGTATTTCGAGGAAGAGTTGAGAAAATGTGGATCCATGTTTTTAAACTGTTTTTTTTTAAAACTGTATTGTAATGTAGTGTATAGAAAGAAGAGGGAAATAAATAATCTGTTTCTCTTTTTTTTAGAGATTGGTGAGCTCTTTCAAAGAAACACGAGATATTGGTTTTCTCCAAGTAAAGATCCTTAAGGCCTCAGACTTATTAGCAGCTGATATAAATGGTTTGTAAATGTATAAGGCTCACTCCACAATAAACTGTACTTATGTGTTACGTCTGGCTCACTACTGCTGAATGTTCACAGGCGCTTTTTGTAGTTCCGCGTTTGTCCAGTGGAGGGCGCACTACTAAAACACAAATTCGTTCATACCGTACTATAAACGGCTCCAGATTCGTGTTTGGACGTAACAAAAGTGGAGGCAAAGTGTTACGTCCTCAACTCTCAACTTGTCTGCATTGAATAATATTTTTTGCATAATGTATAATCTATAATTAGAGATAGATTCTAGTTTTATCTCCAACCATTAACCATTAAATAGTCCTCTCTGTCCTGTTAATTCTTCCATTCACAAATCCGCATGGTTTGTATGTAACAATTGTGTCCTCAAAGTTCAATACAATTTTTCCAAAGGCATTCATTTTTCTTGAAATGGTTTTGAGCCCATCTGAGATCATCCTCTGTATGGTTATAAACTACATCAGGGGTCTCCAACCTGTGGCTCCTGAGCTACCAGTAGCTCGCTTGCCCCTTTCAGGAAGCTCGCCAAAGGAATTAGAATTTAACCAATGATCTTGAATTAAAAATGTTTGATATATCTCCTATGAGTATTATTATAGGGTTATACAGTATTATGGTATTATTTACTAATTATTAGATTGATTATTGTTATGACTGCAAAAAGGAGTAGCTCTCTGCCACTTGTTTGTAGACAAGTAGCTCTCTGATTGAAAAAGGTTGGAGACCCCTGAACTACAATGTGTTAAATAATGATTAGGTCCAAACATTTTTGATTTATACATTTATTTTATTGCCGCTTGAGGTAAGATTTACGCATCGTACAGTTCAGCGTGGAGTCAGCCATATTTCTGTTTTTATTTTGTTTTTTTTACAGCTGTTGTAAATTCACATCTAATAGAATCTTCTCTCTAGGAAAAAGCGACCCTTTCTGTCTGGTGGACTTGGGCAACGACAGACTTCAGACACACACGGTTTACAAAAGCCTGAATCCAGAGTGGAACAAAGTGGTTTCGCTGTGAGTAACGTACATGACATGTTACTGTTAGATGTGGATGATTGTTGGTGATGTGGCCTTCGTGTCCGTCCACAGCCCCGTCAAAGACATTCACGACATCCTCATGGTCACGGTGTTCGATGAGGACGGGGACAAGGCGCCAGACTTTTTGGGGAAAGTTGCCATCCCTCTGCTCTCGGTACAGTCTCAGATCATTGTCTCAGTAACATATTTACACCTTTTGCCTAAATCAAAGTGAAAAGTGTGCTCGGGCTGCAGCAGGTTGGAGAGTTGGATGTAATGTGTGGTGACTGCTGGTCAGGTTCATGGCTCCGCTCCTCACCCTGTGCCCTTTCTGTCCTGCAGATCCGTGGGGGACAACAGATCACACTACCGCTGTTAAAACAGGACCTGAGCGGCCTGTCAAAGGGGAGCATCACTCTGGAGCTGGAGGTCATTTTTAACCCTGTAAGTGGACCACTCGACCTGCTTTGTTCCAAGGTGTCCTACAACCCTCAGCAAAAATACCATGATGTAATCGCATGATGGCAAGAGAAAATTCTCTTTTCTCTCTCAGTGGGAAAAATTCTGTGTAATTTTTACAGTTTAGGTAGATTCTCACCGTCTTCTTACCGTATTTGAAACAGACGTGACTGTCACAAGTTCTTTCCAGACAAACGTATGGAAGAGCCAAATACTAAATTATAAAATACATACAGTTTGGAAGATTCTTATGGTCTATTCTTAGTAGAAATTAAAGTATTTGGTTCTTCTATACCAGGCAATAGTAGATTAGCAAGGTAATAACATCGCTAACTTATTATTGTCTGGTTTAGAAGAACCAAATACTTCTATGATACACACATACAACAATAGAGTTTTCCATTAAAACTGCTCATAGTTTAACACAAATGTATGTTGTATCTTTGTGTTTTCAGATAAGAGCAAGTATAAGGACATTTCAACCCAAAGAGAGGCTTTTCATTGAAGATAATCCAAAATTTTCCAAAAAGGTTGGTACCGGCGTCAGTTGTATCATTGGCCTCAATCAGATTACCACCAAACGCCACCAAAGGAGGTCAAGGGAGGAGAGGTCACTCTTACAATGCTCCTGTTCCGATCCAATTCCCAACCACAACCTCCAAAATGTTTTTGTGTTTATTGCCAAATATCTGTGTGTGCGATTTTGAGTCTGAACCCACTTTAGTCTGATTGTTGTAGAATAGTCAAAACACAGAAGCCAGGACTTAGATTGGTCTGAACGAGTGCGTTTGGGCCGTAATTGACCCCGGCTGTGACAGAGTTCTTGCTAGCTGTTAGGCTACATTAGTTTGATATACAGTGTGCAGGACAAGGCGCGAGACGGGGTGCCTGACTGTCTGTCCACTCCACAAAGACTCTTTGTTAGAGACAATACAATGCTTATTAATGCCAAATTTGGTTTACACACTGGAGACCAAGTTAGGATTTCCCTCCGATTTTATGCTTGGAAGTTGGTTGACAAAATCAGGTCAGATTACGCACTGTTTTCTCGACCCAACACTGACAGATGAGAATTCACTATAGACTATACAAGCATCTATACCTATCATATACATGTTCGCACACTTCTGTCTTTTTGCACCATCTGAGTGATCCTATCCATGCCAAATGTGACTTAATTACTCCAGTGTGAGATCCATAAAGTCTATTGCTATGTTATTTTGTGCACAACATATTCCACTGTAAATTTATTCAACATCATTCATTTATTCTTGTTTGTCTTTTAGGCCTTGGCTCGAAACGTAATGCGCGTTCAGGCATTACTAAGGGCGACAATGTCCGCGTTGCAATACATCAAAAGCTGCTTCCAGTGGGAGAATACTCAGAGGAGCCTGCTCGCCTTCCTGGTAAAGTGGCTTAACTACTTATCAACACACTATCTGCATTTTCTCGGTGCTTCTCCTGCGAGCGCTGGAGGAGACAAGTGCAGCACGGCCAACCTCCACTTGAACCCTCCTCCAGAGAATGTTAATCAATGCAGCGTTTGGCCCCGTCCAAGCCCAGCCCAGGCCCCGGCGCCGTGTCGGAATGGCCGCTCTCTCCACGTTTGCGTGCCTTTTGCCCATGCAGAGCTAAGCCTCAGCTGGAGAGAGAGGAGTCCCGGCGGAGACGAGATGGAGTCTATTTTTGTTCCACGTTTCTGACAACTCATTAACCCTCTGTCCAGTCTGTGCTCGGTTTGATTTGGAGCCCATTACCCAGACAGAAGTCCAATTAAAACGCTCTGAGGAGATAAGGCTGATTTCCCTTCGTACCATTGTCACAAACAAGCGCCAAGCAGCTGCGAATACCGAAATACAGGAGTGGTCTTTGGGCACACCTTCTTAAAGTGGGTGCTGATCTCTACGACATTATTTTCATCCACGTCTGGGCTTATAAAGATGGCTCTCGGCAGCAGAGTGTATTAACTATGCAGGAAATCAAGGTCACGGAGAGTTCCTTTTGTTTTTACACCTGTCAGTCTATAGATGGCACTACAGCTTTACTGGCTTTCTCATGGATTTCCTGTGATGCTGAAACATGGACACTGTTCTCCAGCCAATGGTGCTGTTTGTTCAGATGCTGTTGGAAGATGGAGAGGCAGCAGTAAGATGGACGTACCCTCTGCTGTGTCATTCAGGGATCTCACGGAAAAACAGTGTGGTCTTTAATGTAATGGTGTAGCAAAAGTGACTATTTCGAACATTTTTCACTCCACGTATTGATTCAGTCAGCTATAGAATACACCACAGGTCAATCAATATCATTCATTTATTTGATATGGACATAACGGTTACAATGGACAAACTTGGTGTGCTGCCTTTAGCAAGAGACTTCTTTAGTTTAGCAGTCACAAAGGCATGGTCTGAAAATATGAAGAAAAGAACAGAGACTGAAGCAACAAGAGCAGTTTTGATAAATAGATTAAAACACATATTGCACAGAGGGGAGAATTTATACGATTATTTCTCCCTCCCACTCCTTTTAGAGTTTGAATGACGTCAGTATTGTGATCTTAATTGTATATGGATGCATTGAACTCAAAAATAAATACACACTCAGCTCAACTCAACTCTATTAGAACCCTACACACCCTACATACACATACATGGCATCGGTGGCTCTCGTCCCTTCGGATTACCGTCGCAAATCCCTCTGCTGTCTGCGAGCATACCACCCCTCTGTACAGTAGCTCTTCGGACATTAACTGCCCTTTCATTTTTTTATTTTTTTTTATTCCCTCTGATGTCAATCGCTTTTCCAGAACCCAGCCGGCCCCCGTCCTCTGCCCAGTTATGCCTTTCAACCTCTCACAATTAACAGCATCTTTGCGGGCGGCGTATACAGTTCCACCAAAGCGTGACTGGGCCGTCCCTCCGTTCCCGTTGCATCGGTCCTGACAAAGTCCCCGCTAATAACACATAACCCCTTTGGCAGAGGAGGGGGCTTCATCCCTGCTCCCAGACGCCGCTCTTGGCTGCTAACAACAGAGCGTGCTTGGCTTTTTGCGCGTTAAATCGGCTGGTGGTGGTGGTGGTAGCTGAGGGTGGATAGGGCAAGGCCAGTACTAACCTTCTATGCTTCAAAGGAGAGTGATGCCTTTACCAGATGTACTATTTTTTTATTAGCAGGGGGAAAAAAGAAAAAAATCTATCTTCCACCTCCTGACTTTGGCGCAGTGCCGCTTTGGCAAATGTAGCTTCTGTGTCTGGATTATTTCATACTTTGATTTAGCCAATCGAGACATAATATCCTCTTATCCATTTATGTATTAGCAGCAGTGAGAGCAGTATCACACAGAGACTCCATGTGGCTGCAACAAATGGCACGCTCAGCTTTATTAATACTGCCGCGATTATAGAGCCAGCAATTATGTTTATGATGCTGGAGTCCGTGTGCATCGGGCTAACAGCTTGCATTCACAGAATATATGAGAAATTACGGTTTGATTTCAGCACCAACTTTTCACTTTGGCCCCTTGGTAAAATAACTTGTGTATAGATAAATGATGGAGAGACAGAAATACGTTATTATACAGATGTGCTCATATTCTCCGCTGCTTAAGAACATTAAACACATGTGTAAATACTCCTGAACCGAGTGACATTATAGCTCCTGAGTTTGTTTTAATTATATTGTCTATTACCTTCAATATTAGACTATTTATTGTGTGCAATCTGAGTCTTCTTTCTCTCCTGTAATGTGCAACGATGACACTGACATTTCTCCACTGGTAAAAACAAAACATTAGGTACAAGACAAGATCAATGGAAAACAGTAAAAGTAGACATTATGAATTAAAAAGTAAAATATACATTGTACTACATTTATGAACATGTATGGACATGTATGAACATATATGGACATGTATGGACATGTATGGACATGTATGGACATGTATGACCATATATGGACATGTATGACCATATATGGACATGTATGACTATAAATGGACATGTATGACCATATATGGACATGTATGACCATATATGGACATGTATGACCATATATGGACATGTATGTCCATATATGGACATGTATGACCATATATGGACATGTATGGACATTGGTCAAACTTCCTATGGACCAATACAATGTGTTGTGATTATTCTGTCGTCGATTTCAACGGTTTTTTCAAGTCCTCTGAGAAACTACTGTTGGGATTTTGGGCTGATACAAGAATACATTGAATTAAAATTATCAGTCAATCAATGTTTGTTTGACTGATAATTCAAACAAAGAAACAAAAATAGAATATCAAAATTGTGCATTGAGTTACGTTTACAAAATATGAAATTTTAAATATTATATACACAAAAGAAACACTTGCAGAAATTATATACAGCATTTATAAGTTATTTCTATTTAATCTCTCTCGGTGAATGCAAATAAACAATTAACAATAGTAAATCTCCATATCCTTCACTTTGAGACTGTATTACACTTTGCCTTTTCTCTGTATATATTTTTTGTTTAAACATGAATATTTTAAATGATAATAAGATGCTTTTTCGTAATCCCGCGTTCTGTGTGTGTGTCCGTAGTTGTTCGTGGTGGGGGTGTGGAACTGGGAGCTCTACATGCTGCCGCTGTCTCTGGTCGGACTCATCTCCTGGAAGTATATGCAGTTTCGCTCCTCACCGGCCTCTCAGGATCTGGTCAGTGCAAACAACCTCGGATTTTGGCTTTTTCCACAGAATGTTTTAAACCAGAAAGTGGGATTACCAACTTAAGCATCCTTGCATTGAATTGACCTTTATAGTATTGAAATAGAATACAAATCGTAGACTTAGACAGACTTTGTTGATCCACAGGGAAATGGTAGCTTGCTTAGTGTTCCACAATAAAAATAACAATAAAATAACAATCTCAATATATGAATAATAATCAGATAATATTGTGAGTACTCAGGAATATACATATCTGTGAATATGTATACATTTAAAGTTTAAATATAGAGATAATAGGATACTACACATCTGTTAAAATACACTATATACAAGGACAAAGCAGATAAACTTGTAAATGTCATGTGTACAAAGCTGTTTCCTGCTCTTGGTGAAAAGAATTTGTTATATTTTTATTATGTATTGATTAATTTGGATTCCCATTAGCTTCCAGCGGTGGCTTCTCTTCCCGAGGTCCACTCCACACACGACCACTTCACATTAAAACATTTAAAACATACAGAAGCTCTCCCTCCAGACTCTCTTCCACTCTTCAAATACAGACTCAAACCCATCTGTTCAGACTGTCCTGCCCCATGGTCCTGCCCCATGGTCCTACCCCACCTAACACACACGCACCTTCCCATAATGCACTACTGTTTAATTCTGTTGCTCCTGTTTTTGATGTTTTTATTATGTCCTGTACAGTGTCCTTGGGTGTTTTGAAAGGCGCTTTAAATAAAATGTATTATTATTATTAGAATAAAAAGCATTTACTAAATAACACAGACATCATCCTCATACAGCTCCACTTTGGAAAAGGAACTAAAATCAGTATTAGAGTATTAATAAAATACAAATCTCTAACCTTAAATATTTGATTTGATTTTTATTTAGGGAAATCTTCTTGAGATGCAGAAACTAAATTTTTGGGTCCCATGAACATAAAACCAACACAATACATATAATACAGCACAATATCAACAATTAACATGAATACATTAAAATAATGTATACAATATTATACAGAATTTATGTGTACAATATTCTACAGAAATTATGTATAACAATATTCTACAGAAATTATGTATAACAATATTCTACAGAAAATAATGTATACAATATTATACAGAAATAATGTATTCAATATTATACATAAACTATGATTATACAATATTATATAGAAATAATGTATACAATATTATACAGAAATTATGTATACAATATTATACAGAAATGATGTATACAATATTATACAGAATTAATGTATACAATATTATACAGAAATGATGTATACAATATTATACAGAATTAATGTATACAATATTATACAGAAATGATATATACAATATTATACAGAATTAATGTATACAATATTATACAGAAATGATGTATACAATATTATACAGAAATGATGTATACAATATTATACAGAAATGATATATACAATATTATACAGAAATGATACATACAATATTATACAGAAATGATGTATACAATATTATACAGAAATAATGTCTACAATATTCTACAGAAATAATGCATACAATATTATACAGAAATTATGTATACAATATTATACAGAAATGATATATACAATATTATACAGAAATGATGTATACAATATTATACAGAAATAATGTCTACAATATTCTACAGAAATAATGCATACAATATTATACAGAAATTATGTATACAATATTATACAGAAATAATGTCTACAATATTCTACAGAAATTATGTATACAATATTATACAGAAAATATGTATACAATATTATACAGAAATAATGTATAACAATATTATACATAAATTATGATTATACAATATTATACAGGAATAATGTGTAAAATTATATACAGACTTTGTACTCTTGGTGAAATGAAAAAGGTCATATATATTCACAGATTGAAGTCGGAGCAGTAACAAAAGCCTGTGATACCAATCCGGTGGGAAACATTATCCAGTTTTTTATTCATTTCAAATAATCAGTTTTTCATTTTTGTCGTTTCCTTTTTATAACTCAATAATAGTCAAGTTTGAAGAACAGTTTTTATTTATTCCGATCGCGCATTTTCTTCATACCATCTCCAAAAATGAAACCTGTCGACAAATCTACAGATAATTACCGGACGCTTTGGCAAATGCATGAATTAGAAAATGCATGAATTAGAAAATGCACCACGTCGGTCATTCTCAAAGTATCAACGCTGAAACTGCTAAATGTTTTCATCCCCACGAAAGCTGCACGCTAAAAGACCGTTTAGTGGGTGTCTATGAATATTGTTTTTTCTCACCTTAAAATATGACTGTCTTCCGTGGGAAAAGTGTGCGGCGTTCCCATCGGTGACGGCGAGACTGCGGCCGGACCTCGGGGTCACTCACTTCACACCAGGAATTATAAACACTGGTTCTTTCACTCCCAGACTAGAATCCCATTATCTTCACTAAACACTTTTTACTTTTTACTTTTGAAGGAAAAGATGGATGTGGCCGACGAGGAGGACGAAGATGAAAAGGTATTTATGATTTATTAATTCTATATTTTGCTTTATTTTGTTTATTAGTGAAGTTACGGTTCAAACATATGATATACTATAAATAATTGCAACTAAAAAAGGAAAAGGCAGAAGCAGCTGATTGGAGCCTGTGTTATTCTACACCCTCAGTTTACCCAGATTTTAATTAATTTTTGCAGTATACCATATTTAACAAACATACACAAATACTTTTCATACGCTTTAAATATTAGACACTTAAATTATAACAAAAAAGTAAAAAAAATCTAATCTTCTGTTAATCCATTCCATCATTTCACTCCGAGAGAAACACACATTTTAGTTCTTGCTTTAGCAGATACCAAAAAAATACAGCTTTGAGATTAATTATTAGTTAGAACGTTTTTTGGGGCTATTTGTAAACTAATTACTAATATTAATGCGAGAAAGATCTTTATGAATTATACGTGATATACTTTGTGAGCTATAAATATCAGTAGTTATTGTTCATGGTTTCTCACTTAACAAGTTGATCTAATTTGGTAAAGTTGTGGTTGTCAGAGAGAGGCTTAATGAAGACCTCACAGACCGGCTTCCACATGTCACCGCTCATTCATATGGTAATAAAGGGGTGGGTCGAGGGGCCGGGCTGCATTCGGGAAAGTCCCTAAGCTTAGACAACATATAATGCCATCAATATGGAACTAATGACAGTACTTAGACATGCTTTTAATACCTGCTGGAGTGGAAAGTGTTACCACGCTTTTAGGCGGCGGTATATTTCATCAGAATGACAGCAGTTTATTGTGGCTGTCGTGAATGGACTGCGGCGTCAGCGCGGCTTAAACTGCTGCTCGGTGCAAGAAACCGGCTGAAGTCATCCTCGAGAATATTCTGTGGACGAGCTGCAGCAGAGAGACTTTGGAAAACCGAGACGTGGAGAGCACAAAACATTTAACACACTTTTGATTATTTAAAAACGCGAAATGGTTTAGTGCCTCATTGGCAAGATTTCAGGGTGAATGAAATCAAATGGATGTGTTTTTGAGAGATTAGAAAAGAATTGAAATAGTCATTGGTCTAGAATTATAGATTAACGAATGCTCACTGGAATTATGCAAAATGGATACATGTTTGAGAGAGTTGCATCTGTCCTTAGACCGTCCTTCAGCGGGAAAAAATTGTGTAGAAATGAAGACGAGGCAGCGCACCTGTAAAACGGTTTATTTTCGAGTCCCCTCAGATCGAACCAGAGGAGACGAGGCTTTTTATATGATTTGTCTCAATGTGCATAAAAACAGACCCATGAGCTATAAATGACTCATGCTTAAGATATAGATGCTACAGAATATATTAGCCTTAGCTACAATCTGACGTGTCGACAAATAAGTTCAACCGTATCAATTGACATGTACTGTCCCAGTCAAAATAATGAATACATAAATAATAATAATAGACAAAAATGTGGGCAAAACAAAGACATACAGTGCTTCAGGTAATCAATTTTAGTAGTAATTCAGATATAACAGGGGTTCACAGTACAAAACTTGTAGGTTAAGCTCCAATAAATCTTGCAAATCCGCAGCTTTTTGTTAAAAACGTTGTGTTCTGTTTATCGTAATGCTGCTGGATCTCTCTAAGCACCAGTCAGCGCATATGTGTGAAACTCAATGTAAACACAGCACATTACAGGACTCCACAGCATCACACAGAACACATATTTAATCTGGATTTTTGTTTAACTTCATCTGAAAAATGTATATTCCGGCGTGGATGAGGCTTCTCGAACACATTACACTTTGGAAGGAGAACTGCCCCATGTTCGGTGACGCTTTGGACGTGTCGCAGCCCTTTCCCAACACAGACCTGGCTCAGATCTTGGCTTAGATCTCGTTATTATTCCGTGTCACATCATCAGCAGCTTCACTAAGTTGGAGCCATGACAAAGAGCATGACTTTGGCCGATAAACAGTGGCCCCCCTCCAGACGCCAGCTTCTCTCCGGAGCCTTCACCCAGAGCCCCGCAAGAGTGTTTGATGTGGACACCGGCTCCCTGCACACACACACACACACACACACACACACACACACACACATACATACATCACACACACACACACGTCCTCAGATCTGCACTGGTGTCTCGTCTCTTGTTTACTTTAAAGCCCCCCCCCCCCCGCCCCGCCCGCCCCTTCCCCTCTGGGATCTGGATGAGCCTGAGAACGGAGCTTTATCGCTTTTATAATGCGCGGCCCAGTCCAACTCTGGAGAGCTACCACTTCAAAAAAGCCCTTTCAAAACTTGTTCACATAATATGCTCCTTTGTATTTGGGATTTATAGACATCCTACAGCGCTGCTTTGAACGCTTTTATTAATACGGCTGTAATTACACATTTGTCTCCACTTGGACTTTTTTATAAGGAGTTTTAAGCTGTCAGTCACTTCAGACATGTGCAGAATGTTTGCGGCATACACACATGCGGTGTTTTCTCTGTATGTATGTATGCGGTGTTTTCTCTGTATGTCTGTATGTCTGTCTGTATGTATGTATGTTTCTCTGTATGTGCGGTGTTTTCTCTGTATGTCTGTATGTGCGGCATACACACATACAGAGAAAACACCGCACACTAGTGAATTACAATCACAATCGCACAACCCCCATGGCTAGAGCAGAGAACAACTGTTTGGTGAGCTCAGGGAAATGTATATCATGGCATCACGAATCCAAATTCACTTTATTTTCTATGGCACATTTTGTACACATAAGACTGCCTCGCCTTTTGCATCGAAACACCACATCTGACTTTACTAAAAATACAGCAATACAATCTGTAAAAGAAAATCATGAAATAAATACAAATATTCTACAAAGAAAAGCGTATTCAAAGCCATGGGATAAAAGGACAATGCCATTTCAATCCCAGTCCATAAAACTATATTTTTATACAATCTAATAATAACAAATATTATGTATGAATGTATATATACTCATTATCTTTATAAAAACAAAAACATGTAAAGTGTGAGCTACCAAAAGAGGCCGATAATTATTAGACTTGTTCTTCTTCTCTGCTCAGTTGCATTCAGACTGTACGGTATTGTCGTTTTTTGTTAAATAAAAAATAAAATTAATAAAAAATAACATAGCCCAAAACTATTTTCTTTTGCCACTTCTTTCGTTTCTGAAGGAGTCGGAGAAGAAAGGTCTGTTAGAAAAAATCCACATGGTCCAAGACACGGTTATCTTAGTCCAAAACATCCTGGACGACATCGCCTGCTTCGGAGAGAGGATTAAAAAGTGAGAGTTGTGTTTTTCTCTCTCCTTTATGATTTATCAAAACAGAAGTCATTGTTTTGTTATTTTTTGTTATTGTTTTGCTTTCTTCCCCGCAGCACGTTCAACTGGTCCGTGCCGTTCCTGTCGTGTCTAGCTTTCATGGTGTTTGTCGTGGCCACGGCGCTAACATACTTCATCCCGCTGCGCTACATCATCTTAGTCTGGGGTGAGCGTCTGTGTTCTCTTTGCATGTTCTCCTTATTCTGGCGGCTCGTCTCTGCCTCATTTTATCATGCTGCGTTTTTAGAACCAAACCGTTTGAGTTCAGTGGATAATGTTCTGTCTACTCCCCTCTCTCTTCTCTACTCTCCTCTCTCCTCCCCTCTTTCTTCTCTATTCTCTCTCTTCTATATTCTCTCTCCTCTCTCTCCTCTATTTTCTCTCTTCTCTCTCCTGTCTTCTTTCTCCTCTCTTCTCCCCTCTCTCCTCTCCTCTACTCTCTCCTCTCTGCTCTCTCTTCTCTCCTCCATCCTCTCTCCTCTCCTCTCTCTTCTCTCCTCTCTGCTCTCTCTCCTTTCTCTCTCCTCCCTCCTCTCTCCTCTCCTCTCCTCTCTCTTCTCTCCTCCATCCTCTCTCCTCTCCTCTCTCCTCTCGTCTCCCTCCTCTCTCCTCTCTCCTCTCTCTCCTCTCTCCTCTCCTCTCCTCTCGTCTCCCTCCTCTCTCCTCTCCTCTCCTCTCTCCTCTCGTCTCCCTCCTCTCTCCTCTCTCCTCTCTCTCCTCTCTCCTCTCCTCTCCTCTCGTCTCCCTCCTCTCTCCTCTCCTCTCTCGTCTCCCTCCTCCCTCCTCTCTCCTCTCTCCTCTCTCCTCCCCTCTCTTCTCTATTCTCTCTTCTCTCTCCTCTCTCTTCTCTCTCCTCTCTCCTCTCCTCTCTCCTCTCTCCTCTCTTCTCTCTCCTCTCTCCTCTCTCCTCTCCTCTCCTCTCTCCTCTCTTCTCCCTCCTCTCTCCTCTCCTCTCTCCTCTCTCCTCTCTTCTCCCTCCTCTCTCCTCTCTTCTCCCTCCTTCCCTCTCTTCTCTATTATCTCTCCTCTCTCTGCTCTCTCCGCTCTCTCTTCTCTATTATCTCTCCTCTCTCCTCTCCTCTCTCCTCTCTTCTCCCTCCTCTCTCCTCTCTCCTCTCTCCTCCACTCTCTTCTCTATTCTCTCCTCTCTCTTCTCTATTCTCTCCTCTCTCTTCTCTCTCCTCTCTCCTCTCCTCTCCTCTCGTCTCCCTCCTCTCTCCTCTCTCCTCTCTCCTCCCCTCTCTTCTCTATTCTCTCCTCTCTCTTCTCTCTCCTCTCTCTTCTCTCCCCTCTCTCTTCTCTCTCCTCTCCTCTCTCCTCTCTCCTCTCCTCTCTCCTCTCTCCTCTCTTCTCCGTCCTCTCTCCTCTCTTCTCCCTCCTTCCCTCTCTTCTCTATTATCTCTCCTCTCTCTCTTCTCTTTCCTCTCTCTTCTCTCTCCTCTCTCCTCTCTTCTCCCTCCTCCCCTCTCTTCTCTATTCTCTCTCCTCTCTCTCTGCTCTCTCCTCTCTCTTCTCTATTCTCTATCTTCACTATTCTCTCTCTTCTCTCTCCTCCTCTCTCTACTCCCTCCATTCCTCTCTCTCCTCTCTGCTCTCTCCTCTCCCTCCTCTCTCCTTTCTCTCTTCTCTCTTCTCTCCTCCCTCCTCTCTCCTCTCTCTTCTCTCTTCTCTCCTACCTCCTCTCTACTCTCTCTCTCCTCTCCTCTCTCCATACCCACTCTCTGTTTACATACTCTCCTCATTCACGCGGCTCTCGTCTTCCTCAACCAAACCGTTGTTGGGATGAAGTGCCTGATGTTGTGTCTGGGCTGGTGCTCGCCAAAGTGAAAGTAAAAACAGTTTAAACGGCAAACGGCACTTGAGTGGGATTTAGTGGACAGCATGTGTGTCATCGGCGGAGATTTGTTTGTGTGGAAACAAAGATCGCAGCGGCGAGGGACTCCCGGTAATGACACGTTGGTGTGAATCTCTGTTTTAGGCATCAATAAATTCACCAAAAAACTACGGAACCCGTACAGCATCGACAACAACGAAGTGCTCGATTTCCTGTCCCGAGTGCCTTCAGATGTGCAGAAGGTAAGCCCCTGCGGATCAGGCCAGGAAGCCCCAAATCCACCTCCACGCAGCTTTGCACCAGCACGAGAAGGACTCCCAGGCATTCTTTGCTCTTTTTCCGTATAATTAGCAGCGGCTGTATAATTATGCCGCCCCGTATAATTTCTGTTGTGTTTTGGTCGTGATACATCCCCGGTGGAGGTCTCCGCGCAGCTGCCTGTTCCCATGTCGCCACAGGACACGCCGCTGAACTCACTCAGAGACGGCTCTCTCTCTCTCCTCCCTGTTCTCTACTCTCTGCACTCTCCTCTCTCTCTCTCCTCCCTGTTCTCTACTCTCTGCTCTCTCTCTCCTCTCTCCTCTCTCTCTCTCCTCCCTGTTCTCTACTCTCTGCTCTCTCTCTCCTCTCTCCTCTCTCTCTCTCCTCCCTGTTCTCTACTCTCTGCACTCTCTCTCCTCTCTCCTCCCTGCTCCTCTCTGCTCTCTCCTCTCTCTGCTCTACTCTCCCCCCTCTCTCCTCTCTCTCTTCTCTCCCTCTCTCCTCTCTCTCCCCTCTCTCTCTCTCCTCTCTCCTCTCCCCCCTTTCTCTCTTCTCTCTCATCTCTCTCCTCTCCCCCCTCTCTCTCTTCTCTCCTCACTCCTCTCCCCCCTCTCTCTCCTCTCTCCTCACTCCTCTCTCTCCTCTCTCTCCCCTCTCTCTCTCCCTCTCTCTCTCTCCTCTCTCCTCTCCCCCCTTTCTCTCTCCTCTCTCTTCTCTCTCCTCTCTCCTCTCCCCCCTTTCTCTCTCCTCTCTCTTCTCTCTCATCTCTCCTCTCCCCCCTCTCTCTCTTCTCTCCTCACTCCTCTCCCCCCTCTCTCTCCTCTCTCCTCACTCCTCTCTCTCCTCTCTCTCCCCTCTCTCTCTCCCTCTCTCTCTCTCTCCTCTCTCCTCTCCCCCCTTTCTCTCTCCTCTCTCTTCTCTCTCCTCTCTCCTCTCCCCCCTTTCTCTCTCCTCTCTCTTCTCTCTCATCTCTCCTCTCCCCCCCTCTCTCTCTTCTCTCCTCACTCCTCTCTCTCTTCTCTCCTCACTCCTCTCCCCCCTCTCTCTCCTCTCTCCTCACTCCTCTCTCTCCTCTCTCTCCCCTCTCTCTCTCCCTCTCTCTCTCTCCTCTCTCTTCTCTCTCCTCTCTCCTCTCCCCCCTCTCTCTCTCCTCTCTCCTCTCCTCTCTCCTCTCCTCCCTTCCAAACTCCCGTCTGGTCTGGATCTCTTCTATCCGGGCCTGTGTCACTGTCCTTCGTCTCCACTGAGTTTGACCCCATTCGTCTGAGTTTCCTCTGTTCCCAAAAGTTGCCCTGGCTTTGAAAAGTGAGAACACCGTCACTCAATTCAGACAAATGTTAGTATTTTATCATCTATTCTCTTCAATAGATCTTCAGAACAGATGATGGCTGAGAAACCATCCGTTGCTTTGACTAATCCCTGTACGACTGAGAGCTTACACAAACTATTATCTTAAATAATAGTTTTTTGTGTGCTGAATCTGCTTTTTTTTCTAATGTCATTTGAGCAACTATGACCTGGACATTCTCCCCATTAAGGGACAAATAAAGGTTTGTCTTATATCTTAAAAACGACAACATTTGCAGCAGATAAAGTCAGTTCTGGAGTCTTCATTCTCGGTCTGTGTTTGTAAATTACTACAAAGTCTTGCATTAGGTTGAGTGTTGAGTAATACTCTACAAAACCAAATAATCACAGCAAAAACCAACACAAATTAGCTCCCATTAAACTTTCTGAGATAAACTTGAAATGGTAAAAAGCTGTCGTCTTGAAATGAGTCTTTTATACGGACCCTGAGTCTAGAATTAAGATTTTTTATTATTATCATTATTATAAATGAGTTGCTTTTAAGATGATTTCGTAAAAAAAAAAAAAAAAGTTTAATTTTACTCCAGATCATGTGCCTTGATGTGATGTTAAAGCACTGATTGTGAGAAAATATTCTAATTTGTCTAATTGAAAATCATCTAAATCGACCGTTCTGTGGCTAATACATGTTTTTTTATTTAATTCCAAAGACTAAAAAAACATGCTGCTTTTCTGACTATACAAAAGCATTGGGTAATTCTCTTTCCGGGTACACCCCCACCACCCCCGATATGGCCGTGCACATGCTCATGGACCTTTTTGAGCCGGGGACCCCACCCACACTGGTTTGGACCCCGACTGGACCATTACACAACACACAATTTTAGAATCAAGATTATTAACAAAGTGTGTATTGTTCCCGCGTAGATTGAGCTGCATTTACCGAAAGAAAGAGTGATTTCTGTTTTTTACCCTCTGACATCATCACGTTATTTACCAGTGGTTTGTGCGTCTCCAGGTGCAGTACAGCACGACTCGCGGGCGGAGGAAGAAGACGGCGTAGTCCGAGGACACGGCCGTTCGCTGATGTGTGGAACCTTGTTGAAAAGTTCTGTGGTGAATGAGAAGCTAAACATTTCTACCAAAGATGTAACGGTTAATTATGTTTCAGTAAGTATTATAATATTTGCATTTCAGCTCCAGCTTCTTACAACCGCAAAGAGAGCGTTGTACAGTATATTTTATTGGCTTTTGCTCTATTTACTTTGAAGTTTCTGAATTAGCGATACTGTAAAGTACTTTTCCATTGCTGGGGAGCTCTGTGTGAAGCGTTGAATGTCTGAGTGAATCGTATTTTTCACTGGGCGCATGAAACACTCGCCAGACTTTATTTTTGGTATTCGATGAGTTTGTTTTCGGTCGAGGCCTCATCAAACTTGCGTCACACTCCGTTTGGTGTTTTACCCTCTGCTCTGCCGCTGGACGGGGCACTATTTATTATCAAATGCTCTGGTGAAGTTTGCCGTTCAATCCATCTGCAATAAAAAAACTCCACCGGCTTTTGTCTGCGCCTGGTGTTTTTTCATCCTCTGCTACAGGAATGTGTCTAATAGCCTTGTACACACACACACAGACACACACACACACACACAGACACACACACACAGACACACACACAGACAGACACACACAGACACACACACACAGACACACACACACACACAGACACACACACGCACACACAGACACACACACAGACAGACACACACAGACACACACACACACACAGACACACACACACACACAGACACAGACACACACACACAGACACACACACACACACACAGACAGACACACACACACAGACAGACACACACACACACAGACACACACACACACAGACACACACACACACACAGACACACACACACAGACACAGACACACACACACAGACACACACACAGACACAGACACACATACACACACACACAGACACACACACAGACACACACACACACACATACACACACACACAGACACACACACACACACACACACACACAGACACACACACACACACAGACACACACACACAGACACACACACACACACACAGACACACACACACACACACAGACAGACACACACACACACACACACACACACACACACACACACAGACACACACACACACACACACACACACAGACACACACACACACACAGACACACACACAGACACACACACACAGACACACACAGACACAGACACACACACAGACACACACACACACACATACACACACACACACACCCACACACACACACACACATACACAAACACACACACACACACTCACACACACCCACACACACACACACACACGCACACACACACAGCAATGAGGGTGAAGTGTCTTGCTCAAGAGCACCCTCCTGCAGGTTCATAACATTCACATCTGGAAATGTGATAATTAATAAAAACAAACAAAATAGAATTCCATTTTTAAAACCTTTCATGAGGCGATTACTTCATACACTATTCTCACTCATTTCAATAAATAAATATAAACTATATATTTATTATTTAATATTATTTCAACTACAGCACAACAATAATTCCTAAAGCAGAAAGACAAAAACGTTCCTGTTTCTTTATTCTCTTCTGTTTGCAAAGACATTTAAACAACATGAATTCAAAGTCTTGGGATTACTGTGATTTGGATTTGGTGATTGAAACCCGGTCTGGCCTGGTCTGGTCTGGTCTGGCCTGGTCTGGTCTGGTCTGGTCTGGCCTGGTCTGGCCTGGTCTGGCCTGGTCTGGATGGCGAGGGCGTGCAGCGTCTGGCCTGGCCTGGTCTGGTCTGGTCTGGCCTGGTCTGGTCTGGTCTGGTCTGGCCTGGCCTGGTCTGGTCTGGCCTGGCCTGGTCTGGATGGCGAGGGCGTGCAGCGTCTGGCCTGGCCTGGTCTGGTCTGGTCTGGCCTGGTCTGGTCTGGTCTGGCCTGGTCTGGCCTGGTCTGGCCTGGTCTGGCCTGGTCTGGCCTGGTCTGGCCTGGCCTGGTCTGGCCTGGCCTGGTCTGGTCTGGCCTGGCCTGGTCTGGATGGCGAGGGCGTGCAGCGTCTGGCCTGGCCTGGTCTAGTCTGGTCTGGCCTGGTCTGGTCTGGTCTGGCCTGGTCTGGCCTGGTCTGGTCTGGCCTGGCCTGGTCTGGTCTGGCCTGGCCTGGTCTGGATGGCGAGGGCGTGCAGCGTCTGGCCTGGCCTGGTCTGGCCTGGCCTGGTCTGGTCTGGCCTGGTCTGGCCTGGTCTGGCCTGGTCTGGCCTGGCCTGGTCTGGCCTGGCCTGGTCTGGTCTGGCCTGGCCTGGTCTGGATGGCGAGGGCGTGCAGCGTCTGGTCCATCAGATCACATGACCGTCCGCTCTGTCTGGAACAATGGGAGAAGAAAGGCCGTTAGCGGGAGACATAACGATGGGACAAAAGACCAAAACAAAAGGAAAATGAGACTTTAGCACGAGGCCAGAGCAGACCTGACCGGGCTGTTTACACTGCGTCTGCCTAGGTTTCCTCCAGGTGCTCCGGTTTACCCTACCACTGAAAACATGATCTGGTATAGCCTCCTGTAGGGGACCCTGCTCTCTGTGGAGTGGGAGAGAAATGCCCACAATTGTAAAGCGTTTTGGTCTGTGAAAGGCGCTATAAAGATAAATATTACTCACGGACTTATCTCCTCTTGGGTCACCTTTCCGCCGGGTCACCTTTCCCAGCCTGATCTGTGTTTATGGAGGCGCTCGCTGATGACATCACTGATAATGCTCCGGTTACAGGCTGCAGCCAAAGAGCCATAAAACACTTTTATACATTTCAGATCTTGTTGCAGAGTTAAAGAACACAGCTCATGTTAGAACAAACCAGAGTCTAAATGACCAAATATTTATTCATATAAATATGTTTCAGACCAATTTATACAGATTATTCATGTTTCCATCCATCAAATACATGTTCTGAGAAACTAAACCTAAACTAAAACTAAACATGTTTTGGAATAGTTTGAGGTTTGTGGATTTTAATTCCGACACCGCTGGTTCAGAGCAGATAAAGGTCAAAGGTCAAAGGTGTAATCTGAGACTTTAGCACCAGATGCCACTGATATCTTGTATTGAACAATATGAGGCTTAAAAGACGTGACCATCCAGCTGATAATATAATATAAAACATGTTTAAGAAATATATATTCTGTAATTATTGTAGTGAACTTTCATTGTGAGGTGCTGTCATTATTCTACTGATGTATATTATCTGAGAAAGTCCAATAGTCATTTATTTGTGTCGTGTTATTTACTTTTGGACTGTATTACAACAGTTTTTTCTCAATAGTCTTTTTTTGTAAAACACGTTTAAAGCTGAAGTACCTCACTACCTCACTACCTCACAAGAAGAAGAAGAAGAAGAAGAAGGAGAAGGAGAAGGAGAAGGAGAAGAAGAAGGAGAAGGAGAAGGAGAAGGAGAAGAAGAAGAAGAAGAAGAAGAAGGAGAAGGAGAAGGAGAAGGAGAAGGAGAAGAAGGAGAAGGAGAAGGAGAAGGAGAAGGAGAAGGAGGAGGAGAAGGAGGAGGAGAAGGAGGAGGAGAAGGAGAAGGAGAAGAAGGAGGAGGAGAAGGAGGAGAAGAAGAAGGAGGAGGAGGAGGAGAAGGAGAAGGAGAAGGAGGAGGAGAAGGAGAAGGAGAAGGAGAAGGAGAAGAAGGAGAAGGAGAAGAAGAAGAAGAAGAAGAAGAAGGAGGAGAAGAAGAAGAAGGAGGAGGAGAAGGAGAAGGAGAAGGAGAAGGAGAAGGAGAAGGAGAAGAAGGAGAAGGAGAAGGAGAAGGAGAAGGAGAAGGAGAAGGAGAAGAAGGAGAAGGAGAAGGAGAAGGAGAAGAAGGAGAAGGAGAAGGAGAAGAAGAAGGAGAAGGAGGAGGAGGAGGAGAAGGAGAAGGAGAAGGAGAAGGAGAAGGAGGAGGAGAAGGAGAAGGAGAAGGAGAAGGAGAAGGAGGAGGAGAAGGAGAAGGAGAAGGAGAAGGAGAAGGAGAAGGAGAAGAAGGAGAAGGAGAAGAAGAAGACTTGATTCAAACCCCCCCACAGCTGTTGTTGGGGTGGTCCCTGCTTCTGCTGTCACCGAGCCACTGCTCTTTCAGACTTCTCTTTCTCTTTTCTTCAGAACTCTCTTTGGCGTCAGGAGATTACTGAAGCAGCGCTGACATCTCTATCAGAGCGCCGTAACACCCTCACCTCTCCCTCCCTCTCCCCCTCGCTCCCCCACCTCCCTCCAGGATCCATCACTGACACTGAAACACAGCTCATGAAAAAATAAAAAGGGAGAAGGCCTGGGAGCATATGATACACTTTAGTCTCCAGCAGAAACGTGACGACCGCTGGACACCATTTTAGCATTTTATTTATCCACGTATGCATCGGTGCAATATCTTGAGCTCATGTCAGAATGTGCAATATGGAAACACATGGGTCACCGTCACTTTACTTTACTCAGCGGTGCAATCATAATTTTGATAATTGTAACTTATAAAAGAAACAGCGTTACACATCATTGCAACAGCTACGGCCGTTTGGAAACACATGGCTCACAAGTGGATAAAACAGGATCAGATAAAACATTATTGATATGATTGATCCAGAAAAGCGCTGCATAAAACCAAAGCATTATTATTATTATTATTATTATTATTATTATTATTACATGTCACATTTGGTAAAGCAAATGAAACATGTCACAAACTAGAGGGAGGTGTCAGATGGAGATGGGTTCTGTTCTTTTATGCACTTTGTCAACACAATAATAACATCATGTATTTTTGTATAGCCCTAAACCTTTACAAAATTGTTGAATTGGCCAACACAGATCAGAGAATCAAACAGTTCAACGCAAGAAATGCAATGAGAAAAAACACATAGAGCCATGATGTCCATACATGTTGTAGAATCACCAGTGTCCTTTTAGTTAGACCCTCTAACATTTAACAGACTCTACTGCATCAGCAAGGAAAAACTCTGGAAAAACTCTGGTAAAACTCTGGAAAAACTTTTGAAAAACTCTTGAAAAACTCTTGGAAACACTCTGGAAACACTCTGGAAACACTCTGGAAAAACTCTGGAAACACTCTGGAAACACTCTGGAAAAACTCTGGAAAAACTCTGGAAACACTCTGGAAACACTCTGGAAACACTCTGGAAACACTCTGGAAACACTCTGGAAAAACTCTGGAAACACTTTTGAAAACACTCTGGAAACACTCTAGAAAAACTCTGGAAAAACTCTTGAAAAACTCTTGAAACACTCTTGAAACACTCTGGAAACACTCTTGAAAAACTCTTAAAAAACTCTGGAAAAACTTTTGAAAAACTCTTGAAAAGACTCTGGAAAGACTCTGGAAAAGACTCTGGAAAAGACTCTGGAAAAACTGGAAAAACTGGAAACTGGAAATGCAATGATCTAGTGATCTCACAATAGAGAAATGTACATAAAAACCCACAGAGCCGAGGTGCGTCGGGAGCAGAATGTTTATATCAAAGTTTGTACTGGTCCATAATTGTTCTTAAACGTCCTCAGACCAGCCATGTCCAAACCGGCCAGATAGCGGCCCTCTATGTCACGCTATCTGGCCCTTTGCTTCGTCTTTGGGATCATAGACACCAGTTCACAGTGTCATACAGCCAACTTCAGCACTACCAATACATGTATGTTGTATCTTGTTGTAAAGCTAGTTTTTAGTAAATACTCACATTTGTTTTTGATTGAGTTGCTAAAGTCATTCAGCCAACTTCACCTTTATTAAACCTGATTTTAAAGTTCAAAACCGTTTTTCAATTAGCACCGGGACGAGCCTGGTGAACTAAAGTGGCCCTATCGCTAAAATGTTTGGACACCCCGGCCTTAGACACTCCTGAATTTTCCCACAATCTCAAAAACTCAGTGGTAAAAAGTGAAAAACCTTGTGTGAGGATAATATTTTTCTCTTCCATTAAATACCTTTGGCTCTTACACAGGATTACTGATATACACATTGCTGGAGGAAATATGCAGTCATTTCAGATTCATGTTCTTTCACAAACCCCAGTATGATAGTGATGGAGAGGTGCGTTGCCCACAGACACAATGGCAGCACTCGAACCCTCTCATCGATGAGTGATCACTTGACCCACTGCACTTTCACACCCTCGGCTGAAACCATTCCATCTTTACTCGCGGGTAATACATTCTTTATAACTTCTGTAAAACATTTAAATCGCTCAGATGTTTTTGAAACGCAACAATCTTTTCTAATGACTCAAACTGATTTTACATTTTCTCGAGGCTACTTCTCCCTTTCATGATGTATATTGAATTTCCTCTGAATGCTGTCCTCGATGGTGGGCCTCATTCATCCCATTTCCCCCCCAGTGTTAGCTTTTCAGATTTGGGAAGGCCATGATTTTCATCTGCAAACACAGCAGCGTTTAAAACAGGACCCTCCATGGGACCAGCCCGAGTGCTGTTCTTAAGCCCCTCGAGTGACACAGTCCACGGGGAACATGGAAGGGGAAGGAGGCTGTCTATTAGCTGTCAACAATGACCAGTGGGGTTATCCTCCCACGGGACAGGCGACCGGGGCATCGTCTTAGCCCTATCGCACATTGTCTCCCTGAGCCCGCGGTCCTCATGGTGGCCTGGCCTCTGGGAAAGGGCCGCCTCGCTGTCCGCGCCCTGTCCCACTGCAGGAGAGGGATCCTGGGACGGACACAGAGACTATGGAGTAGATTTGGAACCGAGGGGCCATCCCGCTGCACTGACCTCCCTTCTGCTCCTCGGCTTAATAAAGCTCGGGCCTCGGTCATTATTTTGGGCAGATGGAGACAGGGGCAGCCCGTGAAAGGAGCCGGTGTCACTCCAGAGGAGAGGATGGTAGGGATGACAGAGAAGAAAAAGCGAATCGCAGAAAAGATCAAAAGCAGAATCTCGCCTTTCACGCCGACTGAAAGCTCCAAAGAGGATAAGGAGCGATCGGGCCCGGGGTCTCCTGTCCTCTCTGGCAATTAGACTCAGCTGATGGAGAGAAAGGAGTGAATGGCAGGGTTCAAGGCCCTCTCCAGGGCTTGCACAACGGGAAGGAGTTTTTCCCCCGACGCCTCCTTTATCTCCCACTCCTTTCAGAGTGTCAGAAATGCAGCTGAAATATCTCTTCCAAAAAGACAGCACAATCCCCAATGCCAAACCTTAATCACGGCGCCTGATGAGATTGAGGGGGGCGGGGGGGTGTTGAGAGAAAACACGCATTCTTTTCACAATTCATCTTTACACTTTACTGCAGGCCAGGATTCAAGGGAGGTGTAGCAGGTTTACATAGGATAATGAAATGGACTATTCAAGCGGCATGATTCTGCAGACATGATGACAGTATACATACATATTTCACACACAGACCACAAATGACTGAACTAAAGTGAATCGGTAAATAGAAAGTACAAACCAATTTGCCGTCGTCCATAGAATAGTGTTTGTAAACAGCCGGTGGTCAAATTAACCCGGGCTGCAAATGTCAGTGCCTGCATGTTTATTTTTCCACTCTTGGCAATGATGGAACTTTCTAAATCTCCGTCGGAAGGGTGCATTTAATCAAAACCTGACCGAGGATGCAAATGCGAGAGGGACGTGGAAAAATATGAGCGCGTATAAAGAATTGTCAAAGGAGTAGATAGATGTAAGCGGCGCTCTCCGAGTCCCCTCCGTGAAGGCTGAGCACAATGGCTCGTTCTGTTTGAGACAATTTAGTATTCATTTTGTGACTAGAGGAGCCGTCTTGAGCACGGCCACAGCAACACGTCCCACAGGAGCCTATTACCATCCCCTACATATGCAAGGGCTTCAATAGGCCGTCGATCAACCTCACAAAGGGACACGGGACTCTCGCCGCCATCTCAACAGCTTGTCATAAAAGGCACACGGGGGATTTTAATCACACAGGTCATCAGCGAGGGACGGAGCGATATATAGGTCAGATACATTCTATTTGATTGTCTGTGATTGGAGGAAGTCGATACAGGGAGAGGACAAAGAGCTGAGCACGAGAGATTGACGCGCAAGACATATTTCAGGCAGATGACCTTCAGAGAGCTGAGTCATACGGACTCTGGGACACACGGCGACTGAAGATGGTTTTAGAATAGAGTGTGGGAAATGTCCAACAGATGTACGTCATGCTAACCCGGCTTCAGAACCATGTGATAGATTGGTTCAGTGTAGAGTCCAGTCGCAGCTCAGACACAGACAGTGGAGAGACTTCAGGCCCTGGACACTGGTCTCCAACTGTGAGAAATCCCTCAGACACACCGGTGCTAGTCAAAGTCACCTCCCACTGCACAGGACTGAGGAGGAGCTGAGGAGCAGGGCCTTTATCCCCATCGCTGTCAGACTGTACAACAAGTCACTTTAAGTCACTGCATTAGGACTGAAAAACCTGCACTACTACTGACACTGTCTCTTGATTTTATTGTACATAATAAATCCTGCATTTAACATGTTGCACATTTCTTGAGTGTTTCTGTCCTTTCCAGATGTGACATGTACATTTCTCCTGTGTGAGATTAATAAAGTCTAACTAATCTTATCTTAATTAGTGTGTAAACAACCATGTCTGATGCCGTAATAAATCTGTAAACTGACCCTGTCTCGACCCACAGTGGCTCTGAGCGCTCCCCCAGAGACCTCTAGACTCCTAAAGGCAGAACAATATTTTCTGATCCCAGAGATTCCTGCAGCCTCAAGTTCAAGCTCAGACACAGATTATGGCACGTTTGATACTTTGTCGAAAATCAGCCTCACAGACGGGATCTTTTCAGACCAGAGCAACCCGGGCGTTTGCTCAGTTTCTTTGTTACTACATTGTATTAGGGTCATCACACGGATACACAATTATAGGTACAGTATACAGTTCTCATAACCTTCTCCCTTAAGAACCAATATTGTAGAGAAAAAATAGCCCCAGTCCTTTTTTCACAGTGGCTTCCAGTTTTGAGTTAATTTTATTTTTACTTGAATTCATTTTTAAATCCCTCAGTGGTCTCGCCCTCTGTACTTGTCCAAACCTTTAAACTGTTCGTGGCTCGGGCAGATCCTTGAGGTCCTCGACTCAGCTCCTCCTGGAAGAACCGAGGACTAGGTCCAAACACTGGGGAGACCGGTCCTTCTCAGTCCTGGACCCAGACTCTGGATCAAGCTGCCCCCTGACATTCCTGTTCTCACTGATATTGGCCTTTTTAAATCAGGGATCACATTTATTCAGACTGACTTTAACACTCTTTAGCACAGTGTCACTTTTATTTTATTAATTGTATACATGTTTTAATGATGATGAATGATAATGAACCGCTTTGGTTGCCTTTAATGTTGTAAAGGACCCTATGAATAAAACTTGACTGATTGAGACTTTAGACGGGATCTTTGCACACCAGAGACACCTGGAAGTTTTCTCTGCTTTACAGTTTTTTCCAGACAGAATGACAACAGAGAAATATACATTATATACTAAGATTGACGTCATCTCCGAAGAGCCAAACCCAGGTGTTATTTAGTCCCAACAACAGATACACAACTGGAGTCCTGCGGGTCACTTGTTGGTCTTGCGTTGTCCACTTTATGAAGGCCATTGTTAACAGATACGTGTGGAAAGAGGGAGACGTAAAGAAACTATTGAAACTAAACTAGTGTCACAGCAGTGTGCAGAAGTCAGTGATAATCCACTTCATGTTTTGGGATCTGAAGATTAGAAAACTCATCTCTTGGCAATGACGGGAACAGCTGGGGTTTCCCTCATTTACAAAACTTCATAGTCACACGAGTTATGCAGATTCTTAGAGAGTTACAGTATCCACTTGGGACACTATTTTATAATTATAACTCTAATTTATAACTCTAGAGTAAAATAGTTTAATGTAGCTTGTGCTGTAATTGGTAATGCAACACTGGAATTTCCTCATTGCGGGACGAACAAAGGATCATCTTTAAACAGCTTTAAAACACGTCTGTATCTATAAGAATGGATTATTATCTGAATATTAAGAAAGCACAAAACCACATAAGGAACGAGAACAGTCGAGATCCTCACTTTGATCCATCTGCTTTGTGCACCGTACGTAAGTGTGTATTTATGTGTGTGTGTGTGTGTGCGTGTGTGTCTCTCTCTGTGTGTGTGTGTGTCTCTCTCTCCGTATGTGTGTGTGTGTCTCTCTCTCTCTGTGTGTGTGCGTGTCTCTCTCTGTGTGTGTGTGTGTGTCTCTCTCTCTGTGTGTGTGCGTGTCTCTCTCTCTGTGTGTGTGTGTGTGTGTGTGTGTGTCTCTCTCTCTGTGTGTGTGTATCTCTCTCTCTGTGTGTGTCTCTCTCTCTCTGTGTGTGTGTGTCTCTCTCTGTGTGTGTGCGTGTCTCTCTCTCTGTGTGTGTCTCTCTCTCCGTATGTGTGCGTGTCTCTCTCTCTGTGTGTGTGTGTGTGTCTCTCTCTCTGTGTGTGTGCGTGTCTCTCTGTGTGTGTCTCTCTCTCTGTGTGTGTGTATCTCTCTCTGTGTGTGTGTGTCTCTCTCTCTGTGTGTGTGTATCTCTCTCTGTGTGTGTGTATCTCTCTCTGTGTGTGTGCGTGTCTCTCTCTCTGTGTGTCTCTCTCTCCGTATGTGTGCGTGTCTCTCTCTCTGTGTGTGCGTGTCTCTCTCTCTGTGTGTGTGTGTCTCTCTCTCTGTGTGTGTGTGTGTGTATCTCTCTCTGTGTGTGTGCGTGTCTCTCTCTCTGTGTGTGCGTGTCTCTCTCTCTGTGTGTGTGTGTGTGTGTCTCTCTCTGTGTGTGTGTGTGTGTGTGTGTGTGTCTCTCTCTGTGTGTGTGAGCAGATGGCTGAACCAGGCCGTGATGTAGCCGCAGACTGAACAGAACCGTTCTATAAAAGGAGGAAGTCTTTCATCGGCACATACATGTTCAGATGTCGTGTAATTCTCGCGGCTAATTAACAACAGTGTTAATAATGAGGAGGAGCCTTAACAAGTCTGCGGCTCCTCTGAATGCAGGCGCCACGTCACATTAGCCCCTCGTGTCAGCCATGATTTTACTTTGTAATTCTTGGGCTCTCCCTCCTTTACATATTCATGGGCAGCCTCTAAGTGTCAGATTGAGATGTCCTTCCAGTGTCCTTGACAGCAGGTTATTAATATTGAATATCTAAGTCAACATTATGGTGCGATGAAGAGAAACACAGGTCATTCTCTGCCACGTTTCCACTTCCCCCGATTCATGACGCTTCAGCAAATTATACATCTCTCTGTGACACACAATTCCATCGCACAGTAGTAACTCAGTTACTGTAATTAGATTACATTTTGCATAAGTGTAATCTATTACACATCTGTAACACACTTTTAAATAACACTTATTAGTTACGTTCTCGCTTGTTTTGGGAAAATTGTGAATGTGAATGTAGAATGCACAAATAAACAATGTTTCTACTGTTGGTTCAATGTTATTCATAATTTTTAACAACTCATCTTCTAAACACAAGTGTAGATTTAGATATACAGTAGTTATATAAAAACTGAAATACTCCCAGAACAATGTCTCTAAGAGCTCGTTCACACTGCAGTCCCAGTTCATCGAAGAGACTCAAAACTGCAAAAAAACATTGTTTATGAAATCAGCCAAATGACTTTCAGAGGAGCAGGTTTTTCACTCAGGTTGACATGAGACTGAAGCGTGACCACGGCCTACGGTACTTTCTTCTGGATGTAACTATATTATTTTACGCTTATTACCTTTGAAAAAGTAAAGAGTAATATATGAGTACTCACCCGACACTGATAATGTGAGTAATTGTCTGCTTCTTTCCAAGACATAATTGCCTTTATTCTACAAGGGCCATTTAATTGTTAAAGGTAGTTTAGCACAGTGCCTTTCTCTATTTGAGCAAAGATTACTATAATTTGGAGTAATTTCTCCGTAAGACGCCTCCTGAGCGTGGACGTGTTCTCGGCCTAAACCCTGAAATCCCACCGTCTTACTCCATCTTACCC